TAACTGAAACGTGTGATTTACGAATTCTTGCCTTCTGATTTATATATTGTTGTAATAACACGTTATTGTTCTTTATACCTACTCATATCATTTTTTTTGTTACAGGCGATGTGTGTGGCATGCATTCATGTTGCGGGCCAATTTTAGAAGGGCGATTAGTCATTAACAGTCGTCGACAATTGGATAAATTCCTGAAGGATTCACTTTATCGACTCTCTTCGGTGCTGGACACGAGAGCTAAACGCTTTGATGGTAAGAGATCTCGCGTGTTTGTTTTTCATTTTCTTAGGCAAACATACATTTTTCCAGTAACAAACATTCCGACCGTTGATAACGCAACGTACGTTTGCTTAGATATTTTAAGAAGTTCGTTTGCTTTTAAAGCGACATTTTGTAGTTGGCGACAGTCCTGAAATTTATTTTTTGAGATTCTGAACTGACAGATTTATTTGCGCCATGCTTCGTGATCTTGTTCAGGTTCTCGGGTTCTCCCATCCCTTTGACACAAATAAGTCATTATTCGGATTCACAGCTTTTTGAATCATTTAAATGAACGTCACATCTGTCCTAATTTATTACACTTACTATACATTATTATTAAATTTAAGAGTCGCTAATTTTAAAACGAATCTGCGTCGAATATCCTGATTTGTTCAGTCTCCAAGGTGGTAGGCAACACACAATGACTGAGTTACAATGCGAGTTGTTGAGTTTGTTCTTTTTTAGCGCATTTTTGCAAAAAATTTTTTTTGTAAAAAGTAGCTTTTAATCTCACTTTGGCTGGCTGGCTGGCTGGCTGGCAGCAAATGTGGGGGCGTAGAAGAACTCTTGTAGAAAGGCAACGGGTGTACGTGTATCTACAGGGCCGTGAAATTTGTCAACCTTAGGGACATGGCTACATGATGTGGGGTTGGCGACATCTGGGCGTCATCCTCGAGCGTAGTATACTAACGTGAAGGTTTTTCAGTTTTTTCCTATCTTCTACTACAGTTTTGGTCCGATTCTTTTGAAATTGGTGTCGTCGGAAAGATGTTGTAAACGCGCACAACTCCTGCGTGGCGGAATTTTGTTTTTTTGTCATAGGGGCGAAATTAACGACCTTTTGCGAGGCGGCGCGCGCGTCTTCGAGAAGTAGTCAGGCGCCTTTTACCTTCCGTTGCGAACTCACGCGGTTTAACGTTTCGTGAATCTCGAATCGCTGTCTCTCTTTCTCGTGTCGCCAATAGAAGTGAATTGCGGGTGAACGGGACGTCGGAAGGGGGTACCGTCAAAGGAAATGTGGTAGCCCCCGACACGATCTTCCTGATGGTGGAGTCAAATCTTCAAACGCGAATTGCGGGTGAACGGGACGTCGGAAGGGGGTACCGTCAAAGGAAATGTGGTAGCCCCCGACACGATCTTCCTGATGGTGGAGTCAAATCTTCAAACGCGAATTGCGGGTGAACGGGACGTCGGAAGTGGGTACCGTAAAAGGGAATGTGGTAGCCCGCGACACGATCTCACTCATGGTGGAGTCAAATCTTCAAACGCGAATTGCTGGTGAACGGGACGTCGGAAGGAGGTACCGTCAAAGGGAATGTGGTAGCCCCCGACACGATCTTCCTGATGGTGGAGTCAAATCTTCAAACGCGAATTGCGGGTGAACGGGACGTCGGAAGTGGGTACCGTCAAAGGGAATGTGGTAGCCCGCGACACGATCTTCCTGATGGTGGAGTCAAATCTTCAAACGCGAATTGCGGGTGAACGGGACGTCGGAAGTGGGTACCGTAAAAGGGAATGTGGTAGCCCGCGACACGATCTCACTGATGGTGGAGTCAAATCTTCAATCGCGAATTGCGGGTGAACGGGACGTCGAAAGGGAGTACCGTCAAAGGAAATGTGGTAGCCCCCGACACGATCTTCCTGATGGTGGAGTCAAATCTTCAAACGCGAATTGCTGGTGAACGGGACGTCGGAAGGAGGTACCGTCAAAGGGAATGTGGTAGCCCCCGACACGATCTCCCTGATGGTGGAGTCAAATCTTCAAACGCGAATTGCGGGTGAACGGGACGTCGGAAGTGGGTACCGTAAAAGGGAATGTGGTAGCCCGCGACACGATCTCACTGATGGTGGTGTCAAATCTTCAATCGCGAATTGCGGGCGAACGGGACGTCGGAAGGGGGTACCGTCAAAGGAAATGTGGTAGCCCCCGACACGATCTTCCTGATGGTGGAGTCAAATCTTCAAACGCGAATTGCGGGTGAACCGAACGTCGGAAGTGGGTACCGTCAAAGGGAATGTGGTAGCCCCCGACACGATCTTCCTGATGGTGGAGTCAAATCTTTAAAAGCGAATTGCGGGTGCACGAGGAAAGTGGGAAGCGGTTAGTGAATGTAGTAGCCTTCGACAAGATCTGTTATTGATGGTTGAATCGAAAGTGGCTAATAGAATACTGATCTGCCACACAAAAATGCGCTGAAGTCCCTTCGATCTCAAACGAGGACTTTGATAATTTTTTTCATGAATTTGCTTGATTAACTCGGGCTTCGCCCTCATTAATGAAACTGAAAAATACTTAGCAAAAATAATCGCAGCAATAAATACCCAAAATCACAGAAATATGAGCTTAGGCTTACGGTCGGTCGATTTATTAGTTAGATTTTATATAGGATGTTCCTAAATATGATGGAAATACGGAAGAGACTATTTCTTGGCTTATTTTATGACTAAAAGTTCTTTACCACGAGCTACAAGGTGACCTACAGGGTGTTAAAATTTCAAAATGTTGTAAGTGTTTTCTTTAAATCTCCTTCAGTTTTGAAATATGAGTTAGGGGTTAGGCTGAAGGCCTTACACAATTAGTCATTGGTAGAATCTACAGGGTGCTGTGTTTTCAGAGGTCATATTCCATTTTTAGCGCATTTCCACAAAAATAAAAAAAATGCGCTATTGTGGCCACTTTGTCCGTCCGTCCGGCTGTCCGCTCGTTTTGCGACGCTACTAGTTCTTTATCTTAAGAGCTATTGTTCTACTTTTTTCGCTATTTGGTTCGTTATGGTGTCGAGGCTTGCACCAAGGAAGGAATTTTTTCTGCGTTTATTGCTAAAAAAGTTATTGTAAAAAAACCAACAAACCGTTTTTTACATGTTCCATAATTTTACACTTTTGCCGTTTATTAACCATCCTAGAGATCATTTATAATTTTGTATTGTTGTCTGTCGTCTGTCTGTTGGTCTGTCCGTCTGTTCCTTTGCCCGTCTGTCCCTCTATCTGTCCGTGTGAATGATAATTTTGTTTAGAAATGTCCGATCGCTTGTACATCTCCGTTAGTTATGAACTGAATTGCATGAAATTCAATATGGGCATAATAAGCAATGCCAAAAGTTGAGTCGAATCGATTCAAAATTCACACTGCCCTTTTCGCATCTCGACCATTTATAAACCGAATTGCAAACTTTTTTTCTTATAAAAGTATTTGAATGAAATTTGATACATAGGCACTTGGAATAAAGGAAAATCAAACGCCAATTTCAAAATTTGGTTTTGCGCATGCGCAGTGCCAACTTTTTATTTATGGAAGAATTTAAACGAAATTTGATACATAGGCACTTGGAATAAAGGAAAATCTAACGCCAGTTTCAAAATTTGGTTTTGCGCATGCGCAGTGTCAACTTTTTTATTTATGGAAGCATTTAAATGAAATTTGATACATAGGTGCTTGGAATAAAGGAAAATCTAGCGCCAGTTTAAAAATTTTATTTTGCCCATGCGCAGTGCCAACTTTTTTTATCTATGGAAGCATGTAAGTGAAATTTGATACTTTGGCGCTTGGAACAAAGGAAAATCTAACATTAGTTTCCAAATTTAGGTTTGCGCATGCGCAGTTCCAACTTTCTTATTTAGAAAAGCATTGAAATGAAATTCTTCTTATAAACTGAAATTGAAATAGCATGTCACAAATGGATTGCTCATGTGCAACGCTATCTTTCATATTTGTGGCCGGATTTCTACGATTTTAACAGAAGTTGCATCTTACAAATGGGAAATGAATGCAAGTGGAAATGCGCTTTATGTAAATCGTTTACGATTACTTTTTAACTTGTTTACCCCTGAACTTTTTTTCAATACCATAATTATTACTACCCAGTACAAGTGCAAGGACAACTTAACATCCATTTCACAAAAAGTATAAAAAGTGTACAAAGTGGAACCTCTATTAATTAAATTAATTTAAAATATTTTCTCCTTTTATAACGTCATTTCAAATTCAGTTCACGAATTTGTAAAGGGACTTTTTGCAGAAGTTAAAGAAGAGTTTTTGTGGTCTCTTATCTGTTGTTAGTGAAGTAAGTATAAAAGAATCACGATTAAGCTGGTATAATAGTAGTTACTTATAAGGGGTAGTTTGATAATGTTTTGTTTTGTAAGGTTTTTGGCATGCTCATCGTAGTTAATTTATATTTCGTACAACTTAGCTGATGGTCAACTGTAATATTCGGGAATCCGAATCCGAATACCAACTTCCGCGACATAAAAAAACACACGCAATGCGGATATTGAATTTCTGCATATGATTTATCGATTAAGAATGTATTAGTTAGAAATTGATATTTGGTATTGAATTGCTTGAGAAATCAATGCTAATTCACAGGTACTTTAGTGGATTTTCTATAAATATCTACAACAACGATATCAAATTTTAAACTATTCCTATACCCAAAAGTTCAAATTGAAACAATACCGATTTTTTCCTTCTGATGGAACTCAAAAGCAGTAAGTAATGACTTTTGTCCGTAATAAAGTTCACCTTCAAGCTGTGGATTAATCATGAACATATGAGCCTTATTATATTATTTGAAAACTAAAACGGCATAAGTAACATCGATAGTCTGGTGACGTATAAAAATATTTTAACCTTCGAGCCTTCTTGGCATCTGGTTCAAATTTCTTACTTCTCATTGGTTAATAACAAAAAGTAAAAATGCTTTTGCCATTTGTAGGTATATATAGAACCTTTGTACACGCATTTGGTACAGACCAGTTTGTCTTTGTATTCAACACACATTGCCCAGTGTAAGTGCATAATGGCTTCTTACTTCGATCAATGGAACCAGTCAGTCGTCCGGCCATCACAACCTGTGGACCAACGTTATGGTGTCGTTTTGGAATCTGGCGATTTAGTAAGTCCACTAATCATTCCATTGAACGCAGTGTATTTGGGCAAGAGCGTTTCGCCAAATTATCAATCCTCATGGAGATCATTTAGATATGATAGAAGATCAAAAGTTAATGTGAATAGAAATCAATTTGAAATTAATTTGAATGTGCAACACTTCGACGCTAACGAGTTAACTGTGAAGATTACCGGAAATGCGATCATCATCGAAGGCAATCATGACGAAAAGCACGATCAACACGGAAGCGTGTCCCGTCAATTCAAGCGAAAATATTTGGTGCCGAACGGCCACAACGTGAATAAGGCAACTTCGGTTCTATCGGGAGACGGAATTTTGATCGTTTCGATTCCTCGCAACGAAAGCGTTGTCGAAGAGCGCGTTATTCCTATTCTACAGGGGGAATCTCAAGATGAAGAACAGGATAAACGTTTAGATGAGCAGCGCTCGCAAGCTGACGAAAAATGCGAAGACGATCAAGTAGACGAAAAGAAAGCTTAATTATATGCACATCTTTTTGAATTAATACCTACCTGCTTAATTTTGCACTTTCTTTTACACCCGCAGTAGTTTATTGTTTCTTGCAAATAATACTATGCAATTTTTTATTATGTTTATTGTTATTTCTCATGTATAATTATTTATGGAATAAATGAAGCCCTTAATGGGTTTCTAATTTGCAAAAATAGTCACGATTGAATTACACCAAAAAAATTTGCAAAATGTGGCGATAATTACATCAAAAGTTATAACAAAAAAGATTTTTTGAATAATAATATTATAGTGTTCCAGGTCTAGAGGCCCTTTGCTTGATGGGTTACCTTCCTCCATTGGATCATGTTAATCACTTGTTTCTTAGGGTTCCACTTCTTGCTTCCATATACTTTTTGATCTCCCTCTTCTTCTCTACCGGTGTCAAGTTAGGCCCCCACTTTTGGAATTTTTAGAATATTTTTATTGCAATCGTTTGTTGGTCGTTTGTTGGTGTTTGTTAGTTACATTTTCACGTTTGTTGGTTGATTGTTATTGAAATATTCAAAATTCAAAAATTTGCCCCCCCAGTTGCAATATTTCATTTTTTGTGTTTGGTGGGTGTTCTTTACCGTTTGGTGGTTGATAGCATGTTCAGAATAAATTTTGTACATTTTGGGCGTGAAGTTAGCCCCCAACATTCGCGTTTGTTGTTTGATCGTTATTTATTTATTCAAAAATTCAACAAATGTGAAAGGTAGGAGAACTAGACGTTGGTTACAAGATTTCTGCAATACATTAACATTACAGAAGTGAGCACTAGTCACCATCAAATTCGGCATTGTTCTCTTCCGAAGAAGCTTCTACAATATGAATAAACAGAGATTTTCTGGTGAGTTCTCATAAGTAATTCATAATTGCTATAAATGACTTTTTTATAACTTCTGGGGATCCATTACTGGGTGGTATATCATATATGGCCGAGGAAGTAAAACATTTACTACAACGTTCATAAAGTAATTCTTGATCTTAGTCTGAAAAAGGGAATTCAATGCCGAAAACCTTTTTTAGAGATTTAGGAAAAATATTAGTCTGGCGGGGGTAAATCAGGAGTGCTCAACCATTCAAAACCAGTTTTAGCTATTCGCAACAGAATTATCCGGGGTAGTTCCACTATGTAGATTTTTCTTTAGTCTTTAGGTGACTGAGCAACTGAGATACTTGACTCGATTGAGATAACCATAGCCGTAGATCAGTAATATTTTATTTAAAAAAATAATGAACTAGAACATGCAAAAGTTCCTATTTAATGCACTATTAAGCATTGTAAAGAAAAGCAAATATTAAAAACTAAATATATCCAAAAATTTTCCGCCGTTCCGCAGTTTTGCTGGCAAATTCTTTCAATATATCCTCTACTTCTACACTTTTTGTAATTTTTCTGCATGCACATGCAGTAGAAGATGTTAGTCGCTTTTGAGTGATTTATCTACTCATTCTTAGAGGAGGCGCGGGCCCCTTGTGTAAAAACTAAGGGGGCGACTCGCCCTCTCTGAGCCATACTTTGGACGTCGCTGCCTATCTATAATAAAAAAAAATTCAACCCGATTTCTTGTACGATCTACTGAGCAATTGTAGGTAAATCAATGGTCCAGTTATTGAATAATCTTTTGTTTTTAAAATTTTTACAACTGCACAATTCATATACTTTCCCAAATTATTTTCTTGTGATAGTTGAACCAGTTCCAATGAGATGTCGCCACGTACGTAACTACCTTCAAAAGAACATTTTAATTTATGCACTTAATAGCCACGTCCGACTCAATTTTCCTTAAAGGGCAGTTGAAAATGTGCAATTACATGTAGGATTTGTAGAGCAATTGTACTTCAATGATCCAGTATCTGGAATTGTCTTTTGTGTATGCAATTGGTACATTTGCGCCATCTCTTTGGTAATCCCTATACTTTTCCAAATAAAATTCTTGTAATAGTTGAACCAGTTCCAATGAGATGTCGCCACGTACGTAACTACCTTCAAAAGATTGGCGGTCAACAGGCTCAACCCATTTAAGAGTGCTGGACCGGCTCTTCTGCAGAAGGAGCTGGAGCCGCTGATCTTACATTTGTTGCGCCTTTTTAGAGTCAAAATCTCAAAACTTTTCTTCCAAAGTTCCCATTCCAAGGTGGTGGAACTTAACGTCGGATCTCCGTCAAAGCGTTCGGGACGTAAGAATCTATCCATTTTTTTTAATGGAATAAATTGTTATAATATTAATTTTAATCTTTTATAAAGCTCAGTGGCAACCTGACAACAAGCAAGATAGTCCATGACCTTTTTAACAGGGCCCCTTGGCAAATCTGAAGAGAAACAGGCGTTTGGTGTGCCTAAGTGTTGCCTGGCCAGGCTCCCCTGTGAATAGAATACACATCCTAGACAAGCAGAATAGGTATAGTCCAACAAACATTTTTATTTAGGTACAAGGTGTACCAATAGCAGTGATACAACTTTTGACGGAGATTGTCACTGTGTCAAGGTTGTTCTTATTCGATAAGGCTTGCCAGTGCATCATGGAAAGACTCTACAACGTTTACAAATCGTTAAAATATTTTATCTTTCGCCCTACCCCACGCAATTGACCGCTGCGTTCCTGTGGCTTAACGCCCCTGTATTTTTTGGGTTTAAAGTCGCAATAGTGTTTGCCAATTACAGAACAGCCTATATAGGGATAGCATAACCCGCCGAGTCATAAGAAATTGGACCCATCATATACGCGTCTACATCAGGGCATCAAGAGGGGACATTTAATTGATGTTCTATGCAAAAAATACATTATTTACTTTTCTGATTAAAAAAGTTCGTTCCTTATTCAAAATTAAAGTGCTATCACTGCTATTGGTATTTAGGTAGTAGCAAGAAAATTTCGTTCTCAGTAAAGAAATTTTATTATAACTTCCTATGTTACATAATATCTGGGAAAATGAACATTGATAAAGTTCAAAACAGATACAAATTAAGTTGTACATTGATACTTAAACTTCAGCTTAAAATTAAGAAGCGAAGAGAATATGTACAGTTCTACTCTTCACTTTGTATATACCTGCAACGCTATTTTGCTGCAACAGTATTAGCACAGATTTAAATATACTATTAAATCTGTGGTATTAGCAAACGTAAGGATTTACGAAAGGCTAGTAAAAGTACACAGGATGTTAATTTGAATAAGTAAGGTTCTTATTATTGTAAAGTTTTAATATCAGTCTCAATACGAAGTACCTCACTATGTCAGTACTACCTTATCATGCTATTTTTTACTAATAGGTATTAACTACATATTTTCTGCTATTACAAATGATGGGGTAAACATTTGTAGGTATTTAACTATAAATAAATGTCACTAGACGCTAACACTAAGTAAAAACCGTGTCTATCACACAAAATGGAAGCTGAAATGTAACAGTTTTAATCAATGACTAAATTGTCACCTTTTGATTAATCGGCGAGGTGCCTGCGTCTTCCTTGTACTTTTACACATTTGAGTACAATATGAAGGAGCAATTTTGTAAGGAAGACACCTTCATATATATTTATCTATTTACTAAATTAAAACTAGGTAATCTGCAGAATTGTAAATGTAATCATACTATTGGAGATAATCAGGTTTTTTCCAAGACAAATTTGGAATAAGTTTTGCATTAATGCAAAATAAAAAAACATGGCAGTGATATCTTTAACTGTAAATTTAAATCACTAACGTCAAGATGAATCTCAGTATGCAAGATGTGATATGTTTAATTTTTAGACTACAAATTCACAAAAATGTCGATCAGATTATCGATTCTAAAATTTATTCCACACAATATAACTATTTAGAAGTATTTCGTAAACAGGGGTTTATAAACTGTAATGTATCCAGGTACATGAATTAAAGTAGGTATAGGTCATTTGAAATTGGTTCACAGACTAGTGATGTAAAGGTGCAACCAACTTATCGTATAGGGTACAGATGGAAGTAGATAATCGCCTTTGTATCTATTGTAAGCTCCCCAATAGTAAATGGAGTTATTTAGTTCTAGACACTGCTTCATCAGTCATACTTAGCCTAATTGACGTTGCAGAGAAGTAATCATTTTGAAAATTGACAAATTGGGTACCTAGGTAGGTACTTCAGCAGCATTTAAAATCACAACAGAAGACCTTCATAAAGTCAAATTCAAACTCTTTCCCCAATATTGCAAGGTAAAAAGTTTGTTTTGTTAGTAGGTAATAAACTTACTAACATCATTCCACAGGGCATCATGTAAAGAGACACTAGACAATGCAAAATATAATACCCCTACTCATGTCTGCTTCAGTTTTAAATCATAATTAATTAATCTATCTTTACATGCTCTGTAACCCTTTCTTGCAACTTTTGGGATTCTTCCAAAGTTGAATCTAATACACTTAGTGTAAGTCCAAATTGGCCGGCATAATACAACGTCATAATAATGAGCTGAAAATATAAAAATATAAGTCAGAAGGATGCAGACCTAAGACCACACCATTGCCTTACCTGATCATAGGGAAACTTGCCAACGAATTGAATGTAAGCTACACAAAAATCAGACACAGCAAAGCTAATCGCCCCAAGGCATGTGCACATCCTGCACCAGTTATTCTACGAAAAGAAAAATTGAAAATTGAGTCCAATTGTACTACAAGATTACCTCGGCGGTTTGTATTCGCGCGGCAGCTCGCCACACCATCGTCATAATTACACCAGCATAAAGTGGCGCGCCTAATATTAATATTCCCTGTATATTGAGCCAATAGAATAGTACACCTACAAATGGAATTATCTACTGTTAAGTCGTTAGTTTAACTCACCTAAAACACCCAAAATATAAAACACACACCCGGTTCGAGGGCACATCGGTTTAAAACCCAAAGCACGAATGTACATCAAGTGTCCGATTGAGAAGCTAAAAACTCCAGCCTCGAAAAATCCGGGCCACACCAGAAAGGCGTCACCTATGCAACCAAACAGCAATCCTGCGATTATGTTCTTTGAAAAAGTGTAGCTGAAATAAAGATATAATGTATTACATTTTCATATTTGCACTATTAAAAGGGGGCGGAGTCTAGCAGTTCATAGATGCACTGAAATCTGTTTTATTCAAGGGAAAATTCAATAACTAAAAAATCTTACTCATTTTAGTCGCTTTAAATAGCAATAGTTTAAATTACACATGTTAAGACTGTGTTCAATTTTAAGTACATAAATTAATATCATAATTACACATAATTGAAGGACATTACTATCTGGCACTGTATGGTCACCTTTGCGTAACATAATTCCTATCGAATAGAAACCTGATGCCAATTAGAGACAGTGAGTGAGTTTTCGAAAAATTTACTTCCTTTACTGCATTTTCTTGAAAGTAACGTTACATATTCTGTCATCTGTCCCTAGAACAATCATTAGGGGGGCTACCGAAAATGTTGATTGCTAATGACTGGGCCATTTTTTGTTTACCAATACCATTGATTAATGATTATACACAGTTAGTGTGTATAATCAATGACTATACTAAGCCCCATGTTGTGAAAACACGTTTAGAAAATTTGGGATCAACTATTGGGGCACCGGTAAATCCATAAGTCCATATGAGTAGATTTCTTATCTATTTGTATGATTTTTTCAGTGTTTTAACTCCAAATTTGCGTAATTAGCCACAAAGGTAATTACCTAATTAAATCACATAAAGTTTTTATGGTACTTTGGGCACTGTTAAGCAGCTACGGTTATATGACTGACTATCTATTAAATTAATTTCTTCTTGTACCTATTTAATATCTTTGCTATCTCGGTTAAGTTATGATCGAGTTTGACACGTGAATATTATTGTAAACAGCCACTTCGTCCTGAAGCGACCGTACCTGTTATAGAAGCAGATTACGAGTAGAGCAAGGCCCTTCAGGCATTAGTCAATCAGTTGTATACCGCAAGCTCTGCGGCGCGGGAGGTTTTCTTTTGATTATTCGCAGGTTTTGAATGCGAGAATTGAGCTCACTTCTTGGCGTCAGCATCATTGATGCAAGGTAAGTATAGTACCACTTGTACTCGGCACTATACGTCCGGAATATCAATTTATTTGTGGAAACTTGTTTTAATTCTGAAAGTTTCCACTCTGTATATACAACTTACGACGATACATACATTCTTGAGAGTTGGCAACCATGCAATTTCTAGGTGGGGAATAAAGTCACTAGATATATTATTTATTATTATTATCTATATTTAGCACGGACCTCTTTTTTAAGAGGTCCGTGATATTTAGTGACTTTAGTGGGGAAAAGCCACCTGCGCCATCTAGAAAGCACGAAGGGGGTTAAGTTTGGCATCTTGTCTTGAATGGCGGTCGTGAACGCGTCGCTCTATAAATGGTTGTTGTTATTTTGTGTTTTTTTAATGCAGGTAGTAATCTTTGCATTTCTTTATATCGTATTTGTGTTTTGTATGCCACATTTTATAGTTTTTTTGTGTGTTTGAATCTTTGTTTTTAAAATTTACTTGGTTTAACCGCAAATCACAATACAGAATGACATGTTTAATGCCGTCATCCTTTTGTTTGTAATCGTTTACGTTTTTGGTGTAATGTTTGTTTGATTTATGTTTATGGTCTTGTCCGAGAAGTTACATTCATATAAATTTTGATCAATTTTATTTTAATATGTGGAAATATGTTGTTTGTTACTAACAATTTTCTCCGTGAATGAAGCAGTCACGAAGGTGTTAAAAACTGTATCTAGTCAAAATTGAGTTACGACACCTAATTCTGTGATTGTCTTCGACATTCAACTGTAGGCTCGAAACCCCGAAACCAGGAGCGGGTTACCCATCTTGCAGGAGTCTTGTGATGTTTTCCCAATACTTTATGTTAACGCCATTTTAGTTTTATCTTGTTTTATTATTTAAATTTAAGTTAGATGAAGTATACAGTGCTATTTATTAGGAAGTACACATAGGGATTTACGTGTATTGTTTTTCCCTATGTCTACTTTTAAATGACCAACGGCCGATTGCAGGAAAGCGAATTATAATCAAAATCCTAGATTATTTTCCAAATCTGAGATTAAACAAGAATTTTGACATTTGATTGGCTGCCTACTGCAATATAAAGCCAATCAAATGTCTTAATACCGGATTAAACAATAATCCTGGATTATTTTTTTTGTGCAACTGGCCGCAAATCTCTGCTGAAGGGCGCCTAATTTTATGCAACCAAAATTGTCAATTGGTATAATTCCGGTAATAGTTTAAGGAGCGTAAGAGATATTTCCTTTGAAGCCAAAGCAACAATATTGAAATTATAATTAATGACAGCCAGATTGTCATTTAAAAGTAGACATAGGGAAAAACAATACACGTAGATCCCTATGTCTATTTCTTAATAAATAGCACTATATGTGCCGTTTTCATAATTTTTGACATTTGATCGGGAAGAGTACTCATACATAAAAATTAAAACAAATTCACCTAATTTTTTGTATTTATCGTTTCTTTTTGTTTGAATTTATCGTAATACTTTCTCTAACATGAGTTTTCTGTCAACAGAGTTGAAAACGTCTGCTACGACGACTTGGCAGATTTACTTTGGTGACAAAAGTGTCTGATAAAATTCACTGCTGCTTCAGATCCTCTTCTTGCGGTAAAAGTAAAAGCCGATTTGGTATGAAAGAAGGCGGCGATACTTTCGCAATTTCTTTGCAGCGTAGTTTGGAGGAAAGTAGAACCTACAGCGTTAAAGCGAAACGCTCCACCTTTTTTTTTAGTCAAGGCAAGCTTTGCTCCAAAATGGCAAAAATTCTGGGGGTCACCTTTCCAACAAGGAGAAAGTTGGTGAGGCTAATCAATAATATTGCCCACGCCTCTCTTGCGTTCTTGTGGAGGATATATTTCAAGTGTTGAGGACGTAGATTCCACTTGATGAGCCAGTTGGAAAAAACTGCCTTGTGAACATCTTCAGGTAGACTTCATTGGCATCTACTCCCAGAATAAGATTGTTGTTTGTGCAGAGAAGGTGCTTGATTTTTAGTTTCAAAAACGTTTCATGTCATATGGAGGAAATTTATCCTCGCTGAAAAGATCTTTACCTATAGCTCCTCTGGATTCCACTCTACTCTGTACCCATGGATATATTTCTTCCAGACGTACCAATCGCCCCTTGTGAGGACCTTCCGGTTTTTGAGATGTAATATAGGATAACGATGAGGAGCTGAGCAGGAGGACTAGGTATGTTCATTAGAGTACCATGAGGAGAAAACGAGCTCTCCCTTCAAACCCCTTTTGATAAAGAACCAAAATACCATGCAACATAAAATTACTCCTGGCAGAGGAGAAGTAGGTATAACAAACGCTTTTTTGAACGCGGTCCTCGGATTTTGTACACTCAAGTTCATCCAGCTCCCAGTCTATAAGAACGTTGGGATGCTTTTATTTTATTATGAACTGGCTGCAGGGGGCGACAAATTGATTTAAAATATCTAACGATAATAATGAAGAAATGGTAATCTCGTTGACCTTTCTGGTGGTTAAAAAAGTGATAATTAATATTGGTGACGGGGAGAACATTTTTATCAAATATTTGTTACATGTTGCGTAAGTGTGAAGTAGATTATTTTATTGCGAAAAATTTATTGATTGGTTATATCCAATTGGTATTTAAAAGATACGCCAACAACATTAAGCTAGTAGTAGCCTAGATCCAGTGATTGTCGGCATATTAGGCCAATTACTTTGTCATAAGTACAAGGTCAAATAATGTGAAATAATTACCTATGGGTCGTCCTATCTGTACTTTGACCGGTGAATAGACACGCACACAATACAACAAATTGTTGCTCTTTTTCTGCGATTCTCCAACATTTCTAATTAGTAACTGTAGGTAAATATAAGTATGTATTCGCTCCGATGTTAAGGTTTACAAAGCAAGTGATAAATTCGCCTTTTATGATCCTGATTAATCGTGATCAAATTCACGTAATTATAAAATAATATACGGTAATACGACACTTAAATAAAAAATACAGGGCTGCTCTTCCACACTAAAAAATTTAATTTATTATACATTATATAATAATATAATCCTGGCTTTCCACATTGTTTGTAAATTACAATACCTAATTATAAAGTACCAAAGACTTTTTTATAGTGGTAATGAATTATAGGGAAGTACTAATAGCAACGCGATGCGCAACGATCTCTCAAAAATTATATACCTACTTAAGTAGGTAATTTCAAACATTCAGCCCGCATTTGGAAACCAGACTTTCAATCCGGCTCATATTCAATAGCACTTGATTTTTGAACTCGATTGGCGAAAGTTTGACATCGCTATCTCTTTTCGTTCGACGAGGAACAGACGGACAAAACCATCGGGAATTTTTTTTCTTTCGAAAAATTTTCCTAAAAGGTCAACGGGAAGTTCCGTTACAATAAAGAGTATATTTCAAAATAGTTTAGATTTACCGGGCTGATATTATAGCAAAAAGCCCCAAAACTACCGCACACTGCCTAATAGACGATAACTATATAGTAATAAACTAATAATATCTCTAAATATAGTGCGACACAAATAAAGAGTCTTGATTAATTTGTAGATTACGTTAAATGAACGTAATGAAAGTGCATGCCGTAAATTAATATTGTTGTTTACAAAATTTCAATTCAGTTCGCATCGCACTATTCCATTTCATACCCTTTTGTAAAGAGGTATTTATGCACTACGTATTAATCACAATATGTTTATTCGAGCACAGGGCGTTACAGTAAAAAATTATCACAGTCCTCGTGTGAGATCGAAGGGATCGTGTTTTTGTGTGGCAGATCAGTATTCTTTTAGCCAGTATTGACTCCACCATTAATAAGATCTTGTCGGGGGCTACCACATTCCCTGCAAAGGCCTAGGAAAAAAAACAAAATTCCGTCATATCACGAGTTGTGCGCGTTCACAAGATCTTTCCGAGGACACCAATTTGAAAACAATCGGACCAAACCTGTAGAAAAAAATTGAAAAAAACTGAAAAATCACCACGCTTGGAGATGGCGCCCAGCTGCCGCCGTACTATTATTCTTAGCGGCAGCCGCTGTGATCTGATTCGCAGGATACTATGGCTTCACGTTACACGTAATTTCAAAGTAGATTATACAGGGTGTCTTTTTGTTCTATAGGTAGGATTTTGCAAATTTGTATTTAGGAGTTACTCTGAAGGTCGAATCAATGTAATGGCGGCACATCCGGAAATACCGGAAGTAGTTTGTGCCTTCGTTATTTTAAAGGTAGCCCCTATTGTTTGTTGCATTTTACGTGAAGTTTTAGTCCTTTTGATACCCACATGTTAATATCGGCAATTTATGGTTTTTAGGTTAACTTTTTATTTAAAAAATGGCGGATGCAGACGGTACCTTGAAAATTGATTACTTGAAAACGGTTGTAGTTATGGCAACCCATTTTTACCAGTGTATATAGAAAGAATAGGGCTTTAGAAACACAGAAAAACATGGAATGTGGATCTTATTCATAATGAATGTTGATACATACTGAATCCGTTAACAACAAATTAATAGGATCCACTGAGTAGGTATTTTTGTTAATTATTGCGTGTATACTAACGGCCAGGGGGCAAGTTTGAATGAATTACTTTTTACTTATCATACCAGTCGAAAACAACATCGGCTCTCCTTGCATATCTCTGGTTTAGAGCGTTTTCTATTTGAGTCATTTGAGGCATTTCAAATTTGTCAAAATATGCCAGTTTTGAAATAATCGCCACGTTTTATCACGTTAATAAATTCCGACAATACTTTTTCGTTACGTTTCGTACAATTATGCCAATTACAATAATAGGGCAGTAGGTACTTTTAATTACCATAATAACACATTATTAAAATTGTTCAATTTGTTCAACTAGTTTTGAAAGTGATACTTTTGCAGTTTTAAAACCTGAGTGAATCAAGGAAATTCGTGAAAAAAAGTTATACTTTCCGATACCTACCGAAGTCCGGTAATTTGATCACTATACAAAAAGTTCACAGATTTCGCAACCCATGCAACCATCAGAGGCATTGGAAATGATAACCGTATAACGGCATATGTAAAACACAAACAACTCTTACTCAATCGGATCACTTGCTCCACTCGCTCGCAAGCGCGCTCGTGTCGCAAACGTTTCTTCGTTACATGCACATCAAAGTGTTAAAGCTGAACTGTGGTGCTAAGGGTCCCTGGTTCGAATCCGGGTTCGGGTATGGATATTTGTGAATGTATAGTGGGTTGGGTTGGTAGTCTTGGCTGACCCCCCCCCCCCCCCCTGACTTTGCGTGTCTAAGCGTATTTTTCTTTTATTATTTTAGTTAGTTAGTGCAAGAATAAAAAAATACTGATAAAGTGATATAAAAACAAAAGAGCACCAAAAAACAAATTTTTTAATGCAAAATGCAATATGTCTTAAGGTATAATAATTATTTCTGTAACTGCTTTTCATTTGTTTTCTTCGTTTTCTGATGTAAATTTTAAATTTTATGTTTTTGTTTAAATTTCCACAGCTACTGCGATTGGTTCTAAACACATTACTGTAGCTTTAATTTCTAAGGTAATTATATCGCTTGTTTTTTTTGAATATCCGTAGCTTTATCAGAAATTGAGAGTATTTTTGCGTCTTACACTTTTTTATCTCAAGTAATAAAAGAAATATACGCTTGGAGAGGCAAAATCAATCACACTGTATATTATACCTAGTGTGACACAAAGTAGAACGTCTTAGAGGGTTAGAAATGAATCTAGGTACTTTTAAATTGCGCATTACACAAATTATGTAGTGTTATTGTTGACTATTGCGCAAATAAATGAACACAATTAAATTCCTTAACTTTGATCTCGACTTTGATTGTTTGGTCAATCTATTTAAAGCTGTGCGGTTACTATACGCTGTTCCCATCGCATATATAAACAGTAGCAATTATTAAGAATAATCCAAAGGAAGAATACTATTGAACGCAAATTCATTTTTTATTTCTGATCTACAAAGTAGAATAAAAATAAAAAGACCCGTGTATCCTCAATTTTTATTTGCGAGTAAAATAAACCCAAAATAAATTATTGAAAAACTGTGTTTTTAGTCCGAATTTGAAACGCTTCAGTCTAAATACGTCACAAACCTACAACCGATGACGAAGAGGTGAGCCGGCAACCTTGTGCGACGGTCTGACGTTTGTCGGATTGGACGTTTCGAGTGAACAAGTGCCTGTGACAGATGACGCAAGTTACAAATGACATTCTCCTGCAATATTGCCAAGTCGTATGTCATCTGAATGGTTCTAGCAGCTGATTGGTCGGGCTTATTACGTCACAGAGCCCGCCACAATCATCTCGTTTTGAATAAACCCCTAATACCGCATCAGCCACTATTTTTAAATGAACTTTTACTGTCCAAAAAATTGTTTTATGGTTGTGCTGATTACATTAGAACTAAGGAATTCAACTATAATATAAGAGCTATAAGAGCCATTAAGCACTACTTACTCTGATCCGGTGCTTCTCGTATGCAAAATAACGAATACTATCAGCCCAATTGACGGTAGACATTTCAAAATAGTCGCTAATACTGACGGCTGATCGTGCGGTATAAATACAACGAAGTATATGGCCAAAGTTTTAAAGAATGGGACCAACTTTGGGCCAATGCCTTTAATCTGAAACAAAAAATTGATATTAAATTATTTCCAGTTTGAGTCCTCAAATTTCAAAATTTACCATAAATTACTTCTACCACTAGTAGTTAATCGAATTCTCGAACCGAATCATGGAAGTAATTGATAATACTAATTTAATCAATAATTAAATAGCACATTGCCATTGCTTTTGTCGATATGAAAAATAATACTGTACAACACTTCTAAGAAGCGCAATTTACACATGAGCATTGTTGGTGTTCTTCTAAATATAGCAACATTTCAATCATGCTATTAATTGTCGCTAATTTGTTGTAAAATGTGCAATTTTTTGTTGCAAACATATTATACAATTATTAATATGCCTAGGAATAGAATAAAGACCATCGAGGCAGGGTGGGAGAAGTGTTAACCGGTGCGTGGGATTGGAGGCGGACTTTGAAGGTGAGAGAGATGGACATGGGACCACCATAGTTTACAGTGTGTATCTCTGCGGATATACAGGTTGGGTGGGAAGGAGGGAAGGGCGCTACCGTGCAGTTGTTACAGGGGACTCGACCTACTGGGGAGCAAGGTGACCAACCGGAGGAGGTGGATGATTTTCGAATGAGGCGTTGGGATTGGTTCGCAAGAGGAGAGCAGGGCACCTTCGTTTCGAACGAACTACGGGCGAGACTAGGTGAGTGGGAAGTCCTGCAACAGGAAACCTTAAGCGACCACAATTACGTGCTGTGGGACCCCAAGGATGAGCCTTTGAGTCGGGAACCTCTGGAGAAAATCCGCAGGGCAAGCTGGAATGCACTCAGATTGGACCACGTCAGAGAGCTTTGATAGTCGCCTTTCCCGCTGCTTTGATCGTAGCATTCAAATCTTTTTATTTTATTTGTCCCTCTTGTTCTAGGTCCTCAACAGGCTTACGTCCAATTAGAGAGTGACCTGCATAATGTTTTTTAGAGGTGCCCCTGCAGAAGGTCTTAAGTTGTTCTATACTACTCCGGTATTTACCTTACCAATTAGGAAAACTGCAGGAAAACCTAATTCGGAGTAACCGGCAGAATGCTCGAAACTTATCTAAGGAAATTCCAATCTCTGTCACAGATTAAAAATTCCTACCTCAGCCCAGGTTCGAACACCCGACCTCCCGGATATGTATCCCAACGCTCTACATCCAATACTCCATATTTCCCAGTTGGCAAGTCTTTTGCTCCTTTCAGTGGTGTCATTCCTTGAATTCCATTTTGGAGCTGGACGTACTCGAACGCAACGGATATCCGGGAAAACCGGTAGAAACAGAATTCCTCGTAGAATTCGTAAAAAAATCGCACTACGAACTCCTTAGAAAACAGGGTAGGAATAATAAACCCTTTTTTAATAATGTGAAACTGTTATTTTGCAAACAGTAAAACTGACAGACAAGCGTTCTTCTAGGAGCCCGCATTTGCTGCCAGCCAGTCAGCCAGCCCGCCAAAGTGATATTAAAAGCTACTTTTTTTACAAATAAATTTGCAAAAATTGGCTAAAAATATTCTTATAGATTGTGGCCTGTAGAATCCATAATTTCAAACAGTTCCAAGATTGGGCTACTAGTTCAAGAGTAACAGCCCTTTGAATTTTGTTTACAAATTGGTTTCTAGCCTATAACTTTTGATTGAGAAGTCTAATCGAAAAAGTACGAATTGTTTTGGATTCTACGCACCAAAATTAATAAGAAAAAGTGTTTTCCCGAGAAATTTTGGTGTAGTCGATTTTTGGCAAAAAAGGAAGGTTATACCATGCCTTTTTTTTGCCGCGAAAAAAAAATTGTCTCAGATCGACCGGGAAAAAATTTTTTCTTTAGATTGTGGTCTGTAGAATCCATAATTTTAAACAGTTCCAAGATTGGGCTACTAGTTCAAAAGTTACAGCCCTTTGAATTTTCTTTCGAAATTGGTTTCTAGTCTATAGCTTTTGATTGAGAAGTCTAATCGAAAAAGTACGAATTGTTTTGGATTCTACGCACCAAAATTAATAAGAAAATGTGTTTTCCCGAGAAATTTTAGTGTAGGCAGGGTGGGAGTGGTTTTAACCGGTGACCGGGATTGGAGGCGGACTTTGAGGGTGAGAGAGATGGACATGGGACCACCATAGTTTACAGTGTATAATTCGGAGTAGCCGGCAGAATACTCGAAACTGATCTAAGGAAATTCCCATCTCTGTCACAGATTAAAAATTCCTACCTCAGCCCAGGTTCGAACACCCGACCTTCCGGATATGTATCTCAACGCTCTACATCCAATACTCCATCTTTCCCAGTTGGCAAGTCTTTTGCTCCTTTCACTGGTGTCATTCCTTGAATTCCATTTTAGAGCTGGACGTACTCGAACGCAAAGGATAGCCGGGAAAACCGGTAGAAACATAAGTCCTCGCAGAATTCGTAAAAAAATCGCACTACGAACCGCTTTTTAATTATGTGAAGCTGTTATTTTGCAACTCGAATTATCAAGATAAAAACCATAGTTAAAAACAGTAAAACTGACAGACAAGCGTTCTTCTAGGAGCCCGCATTTGCTGCCATCCAGTCAGCCAGCCCGCCAAAGTGATATTAAAAGCTACCTTTTTACAAATAAATTTGCAAAAATTCGCTAAAAATATACTGTAGATTTTTATGAACATTAATTATTCCTAGTATATAAGCAATGATGGGAAGTAATAGATAAAGTAATTGTTGTGAAATAGCGAACAACGTCCACTTTAAATAATAAATTAACACTGCTATTAGTGCATACACAATGACCATAAAATCTACCAGTAATTTGTTTCACATCAAGGATATGAGCTACGCTCATGTGTCAAACTTTGAACTCAAGTTGAAAAACTCCTCTTTCTTCTCTTGTTTTACAAATAATTATAATTATAAACAAAAAAAGAAAATATCATAAATATTGTGCATTGACACTTTATTTTAATTAATGAAACATTTACATTAATTTCATTCTTTATATCTCGGCTCACTTGATTGTAGTAGTACATCATTTCCTTTTGAAATAGATACCTATTCCTGTCTGTACCCACAAAATACGTATAGGTACCCTATCCATTGGTTGAACCCAAAGGGCATCCTCATATAAATAATTTTACATTGTTTACAACTTGATCCTTAGTTCAAAACAAAAACAGAAAACCACAAATCGCACAAAAATAGACATAATACGCAAATATTCAATTTAAAAATAATTTAACTCACCATATGAGCAACAGAAGTCATTGCACCGTATACCTTTAGTAAAACTGAAGTTCAAGGTAAAATTACAAAACGAATAGTCAACATTTGCTGAATTAACACCGGAAGCGGAAAAAAGTAACAGCTGACAGCAAAACACGTCAAAATCAGCTGAGAGACAAAACACGCATATGTTTTTCCCTTGCAGGGGAATTCGATCACATTCGCGTTACTCAAGAGAATAACAGAAAAACAGAATCGTTCAATCGCACGCATGCTCTGTTTAGCTGTTACTATATTCGTGTCCGCGTATTTAGAAAGGATAAACAAATTAATCTTAAATTGTAAACATTCTCTTATCCCCTTATCGAAAGCAAAAACCTTCATCTCTAATCATTATCCCATTTCTTCAGATATGATCGATAACCCTATCAAAGTACGATTGCGTGCTCCGGTTCCTCGCAGTTCCTACAAACTACGTAGCAATGTGATGTAACTGTAAATTGTAATGCGATTATGATCCACGTTTACATTTTATTTTCCACATGTAGGCAACTAACCGAATAGTTTGGCATTGTTGTAGGCGCTCGTAGACAGTAGAAACATTCCATTGAGTAAAAAAATATTTTTTTACCTGAAACCGTCAAGAAAATCCAAATTTCAGAGCTATTTTGACATTAGAAAGTTGATCTTTACCTGACTAGTACTGTAATATTTTTGCCTGACTCCCATTACAGTCCTAGTACATGCAAAATAACAATTAGATCGTTCATTGAATAAGTTATTCAATCAACGATTGGATAATTATAATGCAGACTATGTGGATATTTTTAAATATTAATATACCTACACAAAGGATAATGGTTTTTTATTACTAACAATTAATGGAATATGTGTGGAAGTAATTATTCCTTTAGTTTTGCGCCAGTCATTAAAAGGTTTGTACCCCTTTTCGTACCTCTTTCTTGACTTTGTGGGGAGCGAATATTGCACTACGGCGGCCGCAGCTTCGGCTACATTATAACAACGTCTCGCGTAGGTACTCTTCTTCACTGATACCTGCTTTTGTACCTAGTTATAAAGACTGTACAGTTGAAAAGTACAAAGCATAAACTGCATTAAAAATGACACTGAGTGTTTTAATTATTTTGAAATCTCTATGGAAACAATTAAATAATGTGATTTTAGCACACGTGATTAGGTATCAAAATTTCACACATATGAATAATTTAATTTGGAAAATTATCTACATGTTGCGGTTTCAGGTAAACTTTTATACGTAATACGTCATGAAAGTGAGTCCACCTGACTTGGAGGCATTAAAGAGATACTCGGACGCTGTGCGTCCTCGTACTTTTCAATAAGCCTCCGCGTCATGTAAACGACCACTTTCATGACTTATTATCTAAATAATTATTATTCATTGGCACATGGCACAAACAACGATAGTTTATAATGTCACAGATATCGTTGGTTATGTCGTAGTGAGCGGAAGTTGTGGCACTAAAAATCACAAAAATTGCGAAGTTATTAATCTTTATTAATTATTTTTATTTATTACTTATTATTAGTATTGCCTTATTACTAAATATATCGCTAACGATTTACGCGTTGTAATTGCACACTATATACATTTCTAAGTTTTCTTCGGTGAAATTACACCTTCGCGAATCTAAAATGTGCTTGTATATGGAAAATGAACGTTCGACATCTACACTAGTAATGGGTGCATATTTAAATTTTGGAATCATCTCCACTTTAATGTCTTCATTACCTTCCCCATCACCAGTTAAAATTGTTGAATACTGTTCAAGCGTTTTAAATCCAACATTTTTTTCTAAAACATTGTCTAATTTAGATTTCAGCCGTTTTCCTTTCTCGCCAGGAATACGTATTATTTTGGATTTTACGTCTTGCACGATAGATATGCTGTCATATAGTGACATTCCTTGATTTTCTAATTGCTTCAAACACTCAGGGAGAAAGCACAAGTGTGTTTTAATAAATATTAATTCATTCTGTACGCTTCGTTCTTCTATTAAGAGTTTTAATTTTTTTACGGATTCTGCGTCATCCTCTAACCTCCTAACAACTGCAGCAAATTTTTCATAGTTGTTGGCGTAAAATATCGCTGCTTCCAACCAAGTACCCCAACGAGTAATTATTGGCTCCGGAGGAAGAGGCGAATCTGGCATAATTTCTTTGTATATTGCCACACGTGAAGGTGCTTTAAGGAACGCTTTCTTTCCTAAAAGATCCCACGGTCAAACAAGTACTAAAACTTAAATATAGTAATACCATTGTTAACCAATTTGTTAACTCCAGGGCACAGTTCTCTGGCAACCTCTGCAACCCTATTTATTCCATGTGCTAGACATGTAACATGTAATAAATTTGGATAAAAAACCTTCAGTTTTTGCAGCTTTAACCATATAAGGCGCTGCATCGGTAAGTAAAAGTAAAACGCGCCCATTAATGGTAGACGAGAAAGCAGTAAGAGATTTGTTTATAAACTGACATATTGTTTCAAAATTAGTTGTTGGCAGACGTTTACAAGCAATGAGAAATGGTTTCTGGGGTTCATCAGTGTCTAACACGCCAACCAGCAAATTTGCAATGTAGAAACCTATAAAATGAAATTTCAGAAAAAAAAGATATTGTGAAAATTCTACTAGCCTCTGGAATCTGTTGTTTCGTCTACAATTAAGTACACACAGCTATTCCCAACGGAAGTTTTAATATTTTCCATTTTCTTCCGGAATACTGTTGGAAGGTATGTTTTCCTTAAAGTACTTTCATCTGGAACGTGACGACTTGTGTACTTTTCCAGAAATTGTTTGAAAGGTTCCGCATTTACTTTGTAAAAAGGTATATTGGACCCCAAAAGTGCACCACATAAATCCTCGTAAAATTCATTTTTTTTATCACTGGAAGTCAAGGCAGGTATGGTCAGCAAAGTTTGTTTGCTTTTCACATTTTTACTCAATGCGCGTATGTGGCTTTCTATAAAATGTCACTAGATCAGCAACGAACGAGAAATAAATACAGTTTAAAACTTACCAGTTTTAACATGGGCGTCTATAAAATATTTTTTTCCTGTCCCTACGGATTTAGAGCAGACATTGCAAAATATAATTTTGCCATCTGAAGTAAATACTTCCGCGTTTTTATTATAAGGACCAATCTACTCTTGCAATTTTTGGGAAATTGATGAAGCAACTTTCGGCATTTTAACAGAAATATAGGATTAACAATACCACCTACACTTTTTATAAGGTATTACTCGCACTGGCAGTCTATATAAAATGCAATTATTGTAATATATGTTCCCTGCTTAGGTTTCAAGTTACTGAGATTATTTTTGTGCTATCTCGTACGTGTTTTACGTTCAGCCGACGCAATTCATAACCAGCTAAACATATTTAAGTGAGGATCATTATTCATTCATTAATATCATCTGACTAAAGTTGAATTCGCGAAAAATTGCACTAAATTAAGGAGTATTGCATAAAAATTGCACTAACATGGAAAATTGCAAAAATTGCAAAATAAAATTTGGTTAATGCCTTCTTTTTATTGAGTCTGGTGAAAGTCTGTTATTAGAAAATCTTTACAAGGAACCAGACACAAATTGCAAATGCCACAACTTCCTCTCTCTAGGCCGTGCCATTGGCAAAATTTGTCTGATAGTGATAGGCTTCCACACTTCTGGACCGATCCACATCAAATTTCACCAAGAGAAAGTGGGTCTGAGCGCAGGTTTTAAAAACAAGTTAAAAAGTAATCGTAAACGATTTACATAAAGCGCATTTCCACTTGCATTCATTTCCCCATTTGTAAGATGCAACTTCTGTTAAAATCGTAAAAATCCGGCCACAAATATGAAAGATAGCGTTGTACATGGGCAATCCATTGTTGACGTGCTACTTCAATTTCAGTTTATGAGAAGAATTTCATTTCAATGCTTTTCTAAATAAGAAAGTTGGAACTGCGCATGCGCAAACCTAAATTTTAAAACTAATGTTAGATTTTCCTTTGTTCCAAGCGCCTAAGTATCAAATTTCACTTAAATAGTTCCATAGATTAAAAAAGTTGGCACTGCGCATGCGCAAAATAAAATTTTGAAACTGGCGCTAGATTTTCCTTTATTCCAAGTGCCTATGTATCACATTTCGTTTAAATTCTTCCATAAATAAAAAAGTTGGCACTGCGCATGCGCAAAACCAAATTTTGAAATTGGCGTTTGATTTTCCTTTATTCGAAGTGCCTATGTATCAAATTTCATTCAAATACTTTTATAAGTAAAAAAGTTTGCAATTCGGTTTATAAATGGTCGAGATGCGAAAAGGGCACTGTGAATTTTGAATCGATTCGATTCAACTTTGGGCATTGCGTATTATATGGCTAAAGCTATGCCCATATTGAATTTCATGCAATTCAGTTCATAACTAACGGAGATGTAAAAGCGATCGAACATTTCTAAACAAAGTTATCGTTCACATTCACACGGACAAATAGATGGACAGACAGACAAAGGAACAGACGGAGAGACCAACCGGCAGGCGACAGATAGCAATGCAAAATTATAAACGATCTCTAGGATCGTTAATAAACAGCAAAAGTGTAAAATTATGGAACATGTAAAAAACGGTTTTTTGTTTTTTAGCGCATTTTTGCAAAAATTTTTTTTTGTAAAAAGTAGCTTTTAATCTCACTTTGGCTGGCTGGCTGGTCGGCTGGCTGGCTGGCTGGCTGGCTGGCAGTAAATGCGCGCCCGTAGAAAAACGCTTGTAAAAAGACAAGGAGTGTACATGTAACTATCGGGTGCCGTGTAATTAAGAACGTTAGGGATGGGGCTACAAGATTTGGAGTCGACGACATCTGGACGCCATCCCCGAGCGTATTATACTAACCTGGAGATTTTTCAGTTTTTATCTATCTTCTTCTACAGTTTTTCTCCGATTGTTTTCAAATTGGTGTCGTCGGGAAGATCTTGTCAACGCGCACAACTCCTGCGTGGCGGAATTTTGTTTTTTTTTCCTAGGGGCGAAATAAACCACCTTTTGCGCGGCGCGCTTCGAGGGGTAGTCGACTTTGGGCGCCCAAAAGTTTCTTACAGCGCGAATCGCGGTCTCTCTTTCTCGTGTCACTAATAGAAGGTCGAGCTATGTGAAGTACCCAAAAGTTGAATACGATTTTATGCCGGGATTTTAGCGAAATCTACCAAAATGTGAATTACGAATGAACGGGACGTCGGAACTGTGTATCGACAAAGGGAATGTGGTAACCCCCGACGAGATCTTACTGATGGTGGAGTCAAAACTTCAAACGCGAATTGCGAGTGCACGGTAAGTGAGAAAATGGTACCGACAAAGTGAACGTGGTAGCTTTCGGCAAGATCTTATTGATGGTGGAGAGGTGGAGACAATATTGGCTAATAAAACACTGATCTGCCACACAAAAATGCGCTGAAGTCCCTTCGATCTCACACGAGGACTTTGATCATTTTTTTACAATAACTTTTTTTGTAAGCGGTACAGAAAAAAGTCCTTCCTTGGTACAAGACTCGACACCATAACGAACCAAATAGCGAAAAAAGTAGAACAATAGCTCTTAAGATAAAGAACTAGTAGCGTCGCAAAACGAGCGGACGGGCGGACGGGCGGACGGACGGACGGGCGGAGGGACGGACAAAGTGGCCACAATAGCGCATTTTTTTTATTTTTGTGGAAATGCGCTAAAAATGGAACTTCCAGCGTCTCCATCTTCAAAGTCCACAATTATATTAGGAGCAAGCAAAATTTGGCAACTTGTAGCAAACCTACAAAAAACAACTTGTCAATTTTCATTGTCAGACAATGCACCTTCAAGAATTGTTCGAATATATTTATAGGTCATTTATAAATAAAATGGTCGATTGTAGAGCTGTAAATTCAGATTTTCTGAAGAGGGAGTTAATCAATAATTATTTATCATTCAAAAGATTAACCTCAGTCGTAATTTTTGTAAATCTTCAAGTATAAGTATTTCAAATAAAGTTTCAACTCCGTTTTGGTACCGTAGAGAAAAGATTGTCGAAATTGATCAACGGATAATCCCAAGATTCTAAGATTGGGCTACTAGTTCAAAAGTTACAGCCCTTTGAATTTTCTTTCGAAATTGGTTTCTAGTCTATAACTTTTGATTGAGAAGTCTAATCGAAAAAGTACGCATTGTTTTGGATTCTACGCACCAAAATTAATAAGAAAATGTGTTTTCCCGAGAAATTTTGGTGTAGTCGATTTTTATGGGGCCGGAAAAAGAATTGAGGGTACTTTGAAGAATAATGTCAATTCATAGGGAGACATACCTACTCATTAAATCCTCAAGATGGCTCATTATTGGGTTGCAAACAATAAGAAATACAAAATGATTGCATATTGAATGGAAATGTATGCAGCCTTACCACTATACTTGGTGGCACCAGTCTAATATTTTTGCATATTTAAAAGTGACTTACAAAAATACTTGGACATCGCCAAATGGTTCAAATTTTACTATCTAAAGTAGGTACGTAGGTACTCCTTCAGCCCAGTATCCCCAGTCTACTTGAATAGTTATATTTGGCTCGATTTATGCCAAATACACTAATGTCAAATTAGTATCGGCATGCATCCTTTAAATAAACACTCGTATTTGCAATCCAGAACCGAAGGCATAAACCCTCGCATATTAAACAGATCAATAGATTTAGGTCGGTGCTCTTTAAGAATAGAACGGTATTTAATCTAACTATTTGTATAGCAAGAGATCAGCCAACAATTGATGGATGCGATTTTGACCCCGGCTATAACAGGCTTACGTCCCAAACTCCGTCAATCCCATCAGAACATCTGGATGTAACACGACGACCGTTGGCATTTGGACGATGGGCCCTACCGAAATTGGTAACGGAGAGCTCATTTGACGCTTCACATAGCGTTAATTATCATTTTAGATGAGGGAACTTCATCACGAAGACAACCAAATCGTTTTGCAGTCCGTGACAAGCTTAACCGATTTACTTCACGATCCCGAAAAAGTTTATCAGGCCTTAAAATTAAAAATACCCGATAGGTGTGCTCCCTATTAAGTTGTCGTGTACACTACTTGCATATTTTAGACTGGCTGACTTACTTTCGCATGAACTGCCCGAAATTCGAGAAAGAGTTTGTATTACGCTGATCATATTAGCAGGTGTTGCTGATGGTCGAGCAGCAATCGTTCAAAATAAACTGTTGCTGGACAATTTAGCGAAATTAATGGATGACCAACAAAGTGGCCTTCGATTTAAAGCTGCGATGTTACTGGAAATGCTCAGCAGATCTTGGTTTGGTCAGTATAGCAAAGAGGCAATATAACAGAGGGCTTATTATCGAATTTCAGCGGGCGATTTCTTAGTGGATGCTGGGTTTATTAAGCTTATACTGAATAGGATCTATCAAGAAAACGGGGAGATTAGAGTAATTTACTTGGAAACCCTTATATCGTTAATGTACGCAGAAGGAAAGGACCAAGCGTTAACCCTGGGTGCCTTCGACCTCTTTGTATTTTTTAACTTTCCTATAAGAATAAACATTTTCAGAACGTCTGTAATAGGTCGCCTGTCTCGAAGATGAAGCTGAACCAGTGGTCGCAAAAGCAGCCGATTGTTTACTAATGTTAACTTCAACGAGGTCTGCAAAGGACATTGCTTTTGACAAGCAAATTTTGAAACGGCTGACGAAGTTGTTGTATCATGATGTAGGGGGCAAACACTGTCCTGGACGACAATGATTTATTTTACATTGCAGAATAGCGAGATATATACAAGCGTCGCGTCAGCAATAATGTTTTGCACAGTAAAATCGGAAGCAAAAATACAAGCAAAACAATTACCAAAACTATTGGAACGGTTGATTATCCTAACGAACCATTGGAAATCTCAATCTACACAACTCTTTTGTATGAAGGTACGTGTAATTAACACGGAATAATATTTATCTTCCAATCACCACTCAAACTTTGTACTTATAGTCATCCAATCAACCAACGCATTTCTATAATTAAGGTGGGAATTATAAAATATTAAATACTCAACGGACGGTACTTAAAAAATCTGAAGTGAAGTGATTTATCTATATCGTTAAGTAAATGTTTTCTCAACGAAATTGGTAAACAAGTTAACTTTTGACCCAGTATTTTGACGTTTGAAAAAAAATATGAAAGTGGTTTGTTGAAGAACCTGAAGCAGACTTCGAGAAATAAGCTTGATTGCGATGCTCAATGGAAGATGGTCAAAGAGTGGTATGCGAGACTTACCAAGTGCAATTCAGCTATTAAAAAGATGGAACGAGAAAAAATACACTGTTGGTATTACATATTGTATACACATTGCATTTTCCTCTTTCCAATATAATCCACTCATTATAAAACTGGAGACATTCATCAACAATTAAAAAGGTGGCAGAAATTGAAGTAGTCGGCACCGATTGGCCACGCAACCGCGGACTAGTATTAGGGTCGAAATGTCCTGTGGTCTGTAAACATTCCAAAACTCACCTAAACCAGTAGAATTTCTTTGACACGTTTCCATTCATCTTCATGAAGTGATAAAATTAAAATATGGGCCAATTATAAGAAGAGGAATTTCAGCTAAGTTAATAGCATTTACTAGCAGCTTACGTAATTAGCAAACTTAATTCCAATTACAAATAATTGACGGTCAAACGTATAGTTTCACAAAGGCTAAATTTTAATTAGGTAATCATTTTCACAACGTTAAATGTATTTAAGTCGGTCTTCGGACAACGCTCCCAACGGTGGCATTTGCGCCCCCATTAATTAGACCACTAAGTTTGGTGGCTTATAAACAAAAGCGATATTAAATTGCGTATTCAATTCAATTATTCAATATAAATGAAAAGATATTACCTTATTCCTTTCATTTCACATTCCAAGTCTTTTTTTACTAACAAAGTTGCTCGTTTAAGTTGCACCATTGTCAACGGGTATGCTTGACTACTTACTGAACGCTTTCTTTATCAGTTAAAAATCCATTTCGTTCATTTATTACTATTATTTATTTATTACTTTCTTCGACAACTGTACGATATAAAGAAAATTAACGAAGTCCTCGTGTAAGCTCGAAGGGACTTTAGCGCATTTTTGTGTGGCAGATCAGCGTTTTATTAGCCAGTTTTGACTCTACCATCAACAAGATCTTGCCGAAGGCTACCACATTTCCTGTGTCGATAACCGTTCCCGACTTCCCATGCACCCACAATTCGCGTTTGAAGTTTTGGTTCCACCACCAGTAAGATCTTATCGGCGGCAACTACATTCCCTTTATCGGTATCCACTTCCGACGTCCTGGTCACCCGCAATTCGCATTTTCGTAGATTTCGCTAAAACTTCCCACGCCCACTCAATTTTTGAGTACTTCTCATAGCAGGAGAAAGAGAGACCGCTGTAAGAGCTCTAAGAAACTTTTGGGCACCCAAAGTCGACTACCCCTTGAGAACGCGCACCTTGCAACTTCTCCTATGACAAAAAACAAAATTCCGCAGGAATTATGCGCGTTTACAAACCTTTCCAACGACACTAATTTGAAAAGAATCGGACCAAAACTGTAGATGAAGATAGGAAAAATGTGAAAAATCTCTAGGTGAGTATAACACGCTCGGGGATGGCGCCTGGGTGTCTCCAACCCCACATCATTTAGCCCTGTTCTTAAAATTGTTAATTACGAAGCCATGGTAGGTACGTGTACACTTCTCGTCTTTCAAGTGTTCTTTTACCGGCCCCCCTTTCTATTCTATTCTATTCGCAGGGGAGCCCGACCGGGCAGCACTTAGGCACACCAGAGGCCCATTGTGCCTACCCCCTTTCTTCGCAACTGAGTTCAGAGCCCGTTCCTCTCAATGAAGGATAGGACCCTGTTTAGCCTAAGTTGCTTCACCCTCTCGGTTCCAGGTATCTGTCTCCAAGGAGTTGATATCTGTCCCTGATCAAAGCGTCACAGTGACAGACCACATGCTCGGTAGTTTCATCTGCCTCGCCACAGAACCTGCACGTTGACTCTCCGCGAGCCCAATGTTATGCAGGTGATAGTTGACCATCCAGTGTCCCGTAAGGACACCAGTGATCTTCCTAAGCTGGCTTCTATTCAGTTTTAGTTTTAGCCGGCCCCCCTTTACTGCCAGCCAGCCAGCCAAAGTGAGATTAAAAGCTACCTTTTTACAAATAAATTTGCAAAAATGCGCTAAAAATGGACAGATACAGTGGATCTTCATCCCACCTGCCACTCTTGGTTTGGGGCTTATTATAGCAATAATGGAAAGCGCTCTGAAATAGATTCCTGCAATCTGCAATTGCTAAATCTGATAAGGATATTACTAATACAATACACCTCTTCCTTCTGATAAGTCAACTTTATATTCAGCATTGAGTTTCGCAGCTGATCACAGTAGAGATCAAGGCTGAGCATCAACCACTATACACGAAGTGCTCTGAAATAGTTTTGTCCCCTAACAAGAATGATACTTTAAGCTGTGAACTGTACTGGATTCCATTATTGTTCACATCTGGGATCAATTGCCCCAATGCCCGTATGCGCTCTAATCCAGATGAGCAGTACGGGGTATAGACTAGTCATTAAAGAAAAAACGGCAGTTAAATTCGAATAGTCTGCTAAGGTCGAATACAGGGTGCAAAACAAATTTGAAATTTGCGAGTCTTTAGGACGAATCTCATAAACGGACGATATATATTTCGTTTCGAGTTTCGATGCTATAAATTTTTGTAATTTATATAAACAAAAAAATGCTTGGGCTCGATTATATTTTGAGAAAGTAATAAATGAACGAAATGGATTTTTAACTTATAAAAAAAGCGTTCAGTAGGTAGTCAAGCATACCCGTTGACAAAGGTGCAACTTAAACGAGCAACTTTGTTAGTAAAAAATGTGAGTGTGAAATGTAATCTTAGGAATAAGGTAATATCTTTTCATTTATATTGAATAATTGAATTGAATACGTAATTTAATATCGCTTTTGTTTTAAGTCACAACATTTATTGGTCTAATTAATGCCAGCCGTTGGGAGTGTTGTCCGAAGACCGACTTAATTACATTTAAGGTTGTCGAAATGAGCATTTGTGAAACTATACGTTCGACCGTCAATTATTTGTAATTGGAATTAAGTTTGCTAATTACGAAAGCTGCTAGTAAATTCTATTAACGCTGAAATGATTGATTAATTCCTCCTCTTATAATTGACCCATGTTTTAATTTTATCACTTCATGTAAATGAATTGAAAGTTGCCAAAGCAATTCTACTGGTTTAGGTGGGTTTTGGGATGTTTACCGCGACTGACAGACCACAGGACATTTCGACCCTAATACTAGTCCGCGGTTGCGTGGCCCATCGGTGCCGAGTACTGCCATTTATGCGGTGGCTCGTAGGTAGATCGGTAAAATGCCATTTGACAATTGTGGAACGCCCGCATGCTTTTAAAATACCGAGTGAGATTGTTTCTTCCATGATGCATTTATTGTAAAATGTTTATATGGATCGTAAATGCAAAATAATTAAGGAGTAAACCTAATTAACAGTTACGATGTCTCTGTGCTACTTCAAATAAAAAAACCGACAAACGACGACCTCTAAAATGTTAACTTAAAATACTGCAAGACACAACGTAAAAACCTAACGTTCTGAACACTAACATCTAGGAGGTCAGAGTCTGGGAGGAGGTGAGTGGTATAATAAACAAAGGCAATTATCGCTGTAGAGTACAGTACAGTAATTACCTACAGAGTTTTAATGATTAGAGCATAATGGTAACTGATGTGGCCCCAAAATCTGGTAGGGCGCCAAAACAGCTTCGAAAAATACCCAGTTACGTCACTGCCTATGAATTGACTTATAGTGGAGCCCGCGAGTTGCAAGCGGGTTTATTTCAATCTTTCAACTGCTGAAATTTGAACAAAATTAAAGTTTTGTTATTAACAATTTAAGTTCGTAACCGTTAGAAATGAAAAGATGGATTTTTATGTGCTTCAACTGTTGTTAACGGCAATTCTTGTATTTCCAACGGTTAAATATGGTTAAAAAAAATCGGCTGCCATTTCCCAAGATGGCGGCCGTAGCACAGAATGCACGGATGTTGATTGTCAATATGTTGTTACTGGCTGCTACGTACTATACATAGGTAAAGTTTCCCCTTTTAGGGAAGAGGGGAGTTTTTACCTGATATGACTGGTGTATAAACAAATATTTTTGCTAATTAGGCCTTGACGAATTTATGCGAACACCCCGATGTACGAATGGAAGTCAAAGATAAATATATGGAACAAATTGAAGAGATAATTGCAGGCGATGATAACATCAGATGGCATAAGGAAATCCTATTGACTACCATTAAATGGGTTCCATGGAGTGCTACCTAATATGTACTTTTATATTTTATACAAAGAATGTACATATCAAATAAAAATCATGAAATAGTAATAAAAAGGTTTTATTTATCCATGGCGTATTTCAGTAAAAGTAAATAAACCAGTGGCATCCTCCAATGAAGAAGAAAAGTAGCTAAAAACACAAAAGCTATCTAATGAAGAACTGGACAGGTCCCTGAGTTCGCTGAGAGAATGCCTACTACCTACTTCTGAAATGTAGCCATACTTAATGGATATCACATGTTCAAAAATATTGCAATTCACAATAAATAGTCAATTAAAAATAAGTTATCTACCTAAAATACGTTGACATATCACTTATAAATAATAATACAGAAAAACGTAATAAGTAACATAATGAGAGTATCTATCGATAATTGAGCTAAAAAACTTTCCTTCTCTTTCTGATGTTGAGTAAACGAGCCATGTACGTACAGCTTCTGCCAGTAAGCGGCTATTTCCATTTTCGCAATGTAACTCTGGGAGTTTGTACCCCAGCCTCAACACTTGGTTTATGAGGTAAAGATGATTTTCTCGGGTACTTTGTTGGAAGAACTGAGGGCACTCAATACCTTTCTACCTTTGCGTTTAAACAGCCAGTCTATTATGCCATTATTCGCCGAATCGATGGCCTCTTGAAAAATGGTAACGACCCTCTCCGGCATGTTTGATAACAGAGCTTCCTCTTGCTGCTTCTTGCAATCGTGACACTCCAAGTCGTAATCTTCTTCAGGTTTGGATATAACAAAGGTCGACTGGACTGCGAGGCAACGATCGCAATTAATCAAATTGTTTCTGTGCAGAAATCTTAGCGCATCGTCGAAGCCTTGCTTGCACATGCTGGCCAAGACCTCCGGCTTTGGAGGAAACAAAATTCTTGCTATTCTGTAAATGTTATGCCTCGAGAGTTCGATACTTGTGTTGGCCACGTTTATCTGTAACAGTCAGTTAGGAACTTTGTTAACGTTGAGAGAGAATGACTTACATGAAAAAGTTGTGAACTATCATCTCTGGGACATATATCGGATTCGCCACAGAATGGGCTCACGGTTATGGTATTTTCGTCAATCGCCGGCAGGTTATCGCTGAATCCGCCATCTATGTACCTCACCCCTCGAAATTTCGGCGGTAAAATTCCGGAGAACATGGGCACGAACGCGGACGCCAGGAGGGCTTGAAGCAAATCCTCCTTACTTTCAAATTCCGAAATAATGACGTTCTTTCCGTCGTGCACTCTCGTTAGCGATATGTGTAGTCTTCCGTTTACCTTTAAATGGGCATCTTCGGGGAGAACCTTTTCGAGGTTTTTTAGTAGCATATCCTGAATGTTGAAAGACGGGCTGAAAGGTCCGAGAGAACAGCTACGAGCGTCGAGGGCAATTCTTAGTACATCACTCGTCATGTCGACTGTAAATGAAAAGAAACTGAATGAGTCCGCGCCAAAATCATTTAAAATAAATGGTCTTGCAGATAACAATTTTTATATAGTAAATTTATCATTTTGAGGACATTGATAATTCCAAAATTATCGGATTGTATCTTGCGAAACTATACGTTGCTTTTTTGTGAGAAATATGTATTTTTGTAAATGCGCTCATCTCATTGGCTATGTGTTTCAGCAAAAGTATAAACAAAGACATCTATGGTTATAGGGATTAATGCCAAAAGGCTTTGGTATTTTCATATTTTTATAGGGTATTCTTTTCTTTGGTCTGAACGTCAGACCATCGGGGATCAATGATACCTGAAGTATTATTGCAAAAGTAAAAAAACTCTCGAAGTTGATAGTGCACACGTGTCGGTATCAAAACATGAATATTTATATATTTAATCATTTAATAAACTACGCAATTGTCCCCGTTTTCAATATCAACGTATTAATAATTCGATTTTTTTTGGGGTAATGCCCTACAATTCATGTATTTTTATTCATAACACGGTTGAAAGCAGATTAAAAGATAAGCGTAATCACAGGGGTCTTCATTCTGCCATCATTATTCCTATGGGCAAATAGTGTTTGTTTATTTAAGTCTCGATAAGTAAGGTCATGTATGTTCAGATTAGATGACTCAGAAATCCTATCGTGTTCACTAATGGTTTATTGTATTGTAATCTAAATAATACATGTTAAGCAAATAAAATCTATTTAATAACTCTCCTAAATTATCATATTTTATGAGATTTGTCAACATAGTGCATAGCTTACTGCACACTAACATTCCAATAGTTTCCACAGCGAACTATCAGGATTTGTGTTATGCTACATTTCAGATTGATAAGATTTAGATAACAAACCTTGAACCTAAAACCCAAAAAAAACATCGTTATATATTGAAATGAACCCCGCTCGATAGAGATGCCTCTACTGGGTTTACTAGTTTCAGTCGTTGGAGAATAGTCGTGATTTTTACGAATGCTTTGGGCTGTTCCTACCACTCTCACCATTTAGCTTTGGTTTTTTCTTATGTAAAAAAATCCCTAATTGCCAAACATTTGAAAGAATTAAAGAAATGGAAATTTGATGCTGATATAGGTACCTAGTAGGTACCTGAAAATCGCAATAGACTGGGTTTGAATAAAATTCTACTACTGTTTATGTAACTCCTTTGAATAAGTATCGCAATAAAGTAAGGAAGGTCATTCTTCTCTTATCTGATAGCTGATGACTTCCTAAATGTGATAAGGACACTCCCAGAACCTTCCTTTCAAAACTACTTGGGAGTGTTTATGGGGGGTATGTAGATTGAAGTTGATGTCTTACCTAATGGTAAATCACAAAGAAGAGAGCATGCCGCAATTGCTCCAGCGGAAGCTCCAGAAATTTTGTTCAGCAGCAGATGTGGAGCGTACTCTCGCAAGCAAACCGCGACGCCCGCATGATATATCCCCAGAAATCCACAACCAGCAAATGATAGATTCATTTTAAAGGAACTGATTTGCACTGTCACGCTGAGCACTTATCACTGATCGAAAGTAAAATTTTCTAATAATTAGATACATTAAAGCGCGATTATTAATTTATCACAAATAACCAGCGGAAAGTGGGGGAATGATGACGTCTTTGCTGTAATACGCCTTCGAAATGATTGGCTCATTTTGGTGGTGTGGTTCTTCGTTAGGTAATTGTAGGTGTATGACATAGGGATAAGGGATACCTTTGCAAAGTGGAAAAGTTAATGTCTTCTACAATTACAACAAGAAAGGAATGTTAATTACAAACTAATTACAATTCGTTATGGGTTGTAGCTTGTAGGTACATGGTCTTTGTGTATATTTAGTAAATCGTTTAAGCCTTTTTTTGTCCTCTTATCTTGTTTGTATCATTTCGTGAATCAACGTCAATTGCTGTTGCAAATGCGCACATAATTTGTTAAAAAACGAAAACGTCACAGCTACATTTTGCGTAGTGCAGATCCATACGTATAGGTCATCCGAAATTGAATAGAATTGTCCCTCAGGACCCCAATCCGAAAGAAAAGCAAAAACATTTCATTTAAAAATATGGTATTAGCGGAATTTTTTATGGCTCACGTATTTGCGCCGGAAGGGTATAGTTGAATGGTTTAATTTAAACTTTCCCATGGGACAAGCCTTCATATTCTGTAGCTTCGATCGCAAAACTGCATTAATTTTCCATTTCCCTCTATAATGGGTCCCCGAAAAGGATTTAAAAGGCCTTTGGATACCATTATAATCGGGAAAGTGTTTTAACATAACGTTCTGGAATACTTTTTAAATGTTTTATAGTATTCTGGTGATCTCTAGAATGTTTTCGGAACGAGGGGTGGATGGGGAACCATAAACCGGTCCGTGAAATATACTTGACTATCGGCCCACTTAGCGGGTGGGGGAGGGTGCGCCCCAATTTCAAACACTTATGCTTTTTCTAACACTGATTGTATATAATTATTTCCCAACAACATAAATGCTTCTAGATTATTGTTACACAAGCTGTTCCTTAATCGGAATTCTACATTTCAGAATTGCGAAAGAATAAGAATCAATTAATTAATGTCTTAAAATGGATTAATTTATAACAGTAATTATAAGCGCGAACTATTCATTACTTAGGCGTTGAAATTGGAACTGATTGAAACGCAATTCGATTTGCTTATATAGCAAACGCCGTTCTTTCTGGAAGGCTCCCGAGTATTCTAGAATGTTCTCTAACAAACACGTCGGAAAGATTGGGTCATATCTGTCTTCGCTCCCTATCACCGATTCTTTTTTTTCATGGCGCCTCGGAATTTCTGGAATATTCGCTATAATGTTTCTGTATATAAATTCTACTGGTAATCGCACTATATAACAGCGTCTAAAACAGTTTTGACAACTACCACAAACGGCATTGTTAGAGAAATCATCTAGGTACAATTGTGGTTGCCCCGACAGGATCTTAAAATTTCTTCTCGTAGGTAATCGAACAGATCTGGCATTTTTTCCCAACGTTTTTCCTGTAGATTATTACGCAATACTTCATTTTTAATATCAGGGAAATTATGAGAATTTAAAAAGGAAAGATCCATACAAAAATCTGTATACGTTGTGAAAATCTACCTTTAATCGATTCAGTGGCTTGATTTTAAGAGTCTGAAATTCTCAATTTTCTTCCAATTTACTCATTTAAATATCCCTATTAGTAATTTCATTTTTAGGGAATCTTTGCAAATTTGTGTCAAAGGTAGTTTTTAATCTCACCTGAGCCGGCTGGTTAGCTGGCTGGCAGCAAATGCGGGTCTGTAGAAAAACGCTTGGAGGAAGTGCTACCGGCGTCGTGTAATTAACAAGTTACTACATGATGCGGTTGGCGACATCTGGGAGCCATCCCGAAGCGTGTTGTACTAACGTGGTGATTTTTCCTTCTTCTTCTACAGTATTGATGGTCCGATTGTGCGCGCCTAAAAGTTTCTTAAGTGCTCGAATCGCGGTCTCTCTTTCTTGTGTCGCCAATAGAAGCTGGAGCTATGAGAAGTGCCCCTAAAATTGAGTATTATTTTGTTGAGGGTTTTTAGCAAAATCCACCAAAATACGAATTGCGGGTGAGCGGGACGTCTGAGTTGGGTACCGATACAGGGAATGTGGTAGCCTTCAACAAGATCTTATTGATGGACACGAGGACTTTGATATCTTTTTTTCGATTTTAATAGCCCTTATGCCTTACCGAGTATATAAACATGAAATAATTTTTAATTTCTGATCAAATGACACCAATGCCAAGTCTGTAAGTGGTGTAGTTCCGGAGCCTTGTGACTTAGACAGACAGACAGACAGACAGACAGACAGTGCACTCAAAAAAAGTATGACATTGATATTGACATTGAAAAACCAATTTCGACAAAAAATTCAAAGGGCTGTAACTTTTGATCTAGTAGTCCGATCTTGGAACTGTTTGGAATTATGGATTCTACAGGCCACATTCTATAAGAAAACATTTTTTCCGGTCGATCTGAGACAATTTTTTTTGAGGGCCTCAAAAAAAGGCTGTATATAACCTTCCTTTTTTACAAAAAATCTATTGCACCAAAATTTCTCGGGAAAAAACTTTTTCTTATTAATTTGGGTGCGTAGAATCCAAAACGATTCGTACTTTTTCGATTAGACGTCTCAATCAAAAGTTAAGGGGCTTTAAAAAACCAATTTCGACAAAAAATTCAAAGGGCTGTAACTTTTGATCTAGTAGCCCGATCTTGGAACTGTTTGAAATTATGGATTCTACAGGCCACATTCTATAAGAAAATATTTTTTTCCGGTCGATCTGAGACAATTTTTTTTTCGGGGCAAAAAAAGGCAGTGTATAACCTTCCTTTTTTACCAAAAATCGACTACACCAAAATTTCTCGGGAAAACACTTTTTCTTATTAATTTGAGTGCGTAGAATCCAAATCAATTCGTACTTTTTCGATCAGACTTCTCAATCAAAAGTTATAGACTAGAAACCAATTTCGAAAAAAAATTCAAAGGGCCGTAACTTTTGAACTAGTAGCCCAATCTTGGAACTGTTTGAAATTATGGATTCTACAGGCCACATTCTATAAGAAAATTTTTTTTCCGGGTCGTTCTGAGACAATTTTTTTTTCGGGCCTCAAAAAAGGCAGTGTACAACCTTCCTTTTTTACCAAAAATCGACTACACCAAAATTTCTCGGGAAAACACTTTTTCTGATTAATTTTGGTGCGTAGAATCCAAATCAATTCGTACTTTTTCGATCAGACTTCTCAATCAAAAGTTATAGACTAGAAACCAATTTCGACAAAAAATTCAAAGGGCTGTAACTTTAGATCTAGTAGTCCGATCTTGGAACTGTTTGAAATTATGGATTCTACAGGCCACATTCTATAAGAAAATATTTTTTTCCGGTCGATCTGAGACAATTTTCTTTCTGGGCAAAAAAGGCAGTGTATTTCCTTTTTTCCCAAAAATCGACTGCACCAAAATTTCTCGGGAAAAAACTTTTTCTTATTAATTTGGGTGCGTAGAATCCAAAACGATTCGTACTTTTTCGATTAGACGTCTCCATCAAAAGTTATGGGCAAAAAACCAATTTCGACAAAAAATTCAAAGGGCTGTAACTTTTGATCTAGTAGTCTGATCTTGGAACTGTTTGGAATTATGGATTCTACAGGCCACATTCTATAAGAAAATTTTTTTCACAGGACGATCTGAGACAATTTTTTTTGGGTAAAAAAAAAGGCAGTGTATAACCTTCCTTTTTTCCAAAAATCGACTGCACCAAAATTTCTCGGGAAAACACTTTTTCTTATTAATTTTGGTGCGTAGAAACCAAAACAATTCGTACTTTTTCGATCAGACTTCTCAATCAAAAGTTATAGACTAGAAACCAATTTCGAAAGAAAATTCAAAGGGCTGTAACTTTTGAACTATTATAGTAGCCCAATCTTGGAACTTGGAACATTTTAATTTAGAGAAGTTATATAGGTTTCGTAACTTCTTGTATTAAAGTCATATGAAAAACCTGTCAAGTGTAAAGTAAAACATTAAAACTCATACGAAAAATATGTTGGTAGTAAATATCATATAACATATCATATAAAAAATCATGTGAGATATATTATAGTGTAAAGGTACCTTAAAGGTGGCTTTACACACTATAATATTTGTCATAAATGATTTTTGATATTATGTCTCATATGATGTATTTAGGGCAAACTTATTTTCTGTATGATCGCAGTGTTTTTACTTTACACTTGAAAGATTTTTCATATTATTTAGTTGTGACAAAAATAAACCGACATAAATAACGTAATGGAAGATCTTATACAAAATATCACGTTCTTTATCATGCAGAAATAGACGCATCTCTATTCTTGGATTTACATATTATTTCCTTATGACCGCAATAATACCAAAAATAGTATAGTGTAAACACAAATCCAATTGCTTATTAGTTATCATATGAGAAATCATAAGACAAATATTATAGTGTAAAGCCACCTTAATGGAATGGTACACGATTAATATGCGAGATTAGAGACACCGATTGTTTTTTTCCCCGAGAGCGTAAATAGAACCACTCTGACCTTTTTATGTATTGATAAAAAAGTGAGGTTATAATAATATGTGATAATTAATTATTAATGTCCTTCGCCATAAGTCGATAAAATAGTTTTAGTGCCGCAATCTAATACACTTTACAGTAGCGACATGTCTTCAGCTTTGTTTTCACTTCCCGACCTCTACAACTCATACAAAAGTTGGGTCACTAAGCATCCGCAAACAACAAGTGACTTCGAAACGACAGTTAAATGGGTTTCATATTTTATTGCAGGTGAATAGTATGCTTGCGTTTAAAGCTCCATACGTGTACGTTTCTAATTTCAGGAAGGATAAACAATTCGTATATCGTATCCGAGCTTGTATACTCTTTGTCCAACCTGTTAGTGCTGTTTAACGATCGAATTATCAGCCAATCGCATATGAACCAACCTTCGTCGTCTCAGGAAGTTTTGAAAGTGTGGCTAACCGTGCTCGAGTATTCGGAGGTATTTCTGGAGTTATCCGCCCTGAAGCTTTGGGGGAACCATGGCAAGTGGTTTGTAATTGTCTGCATTCAAGTTTTTAAGTAAGTGAAGGCAGCTAAACGAGTACATTTTATATAACTTATTATGCGTAGGTGCGTTTCGAGAATGTTGCTAATTTTCAATTACAAGGACACTGTAATAGAAAATCCTCCAATTCCAGTCCTTCAACGTAATAATCTCGATTCAAAAGCTGTCAATGAGAATTATACCGAAACCCAAACTCACTCTATATCATTCACTTTGCAGCATTCCGGACGGGTAATTCGCAAGATAGATTCTTCACCACCCATCGCTTTTCGATCATGGAAACCTTTAGAGGCCGTTGACTGCAGCGGGACGCAAGTTGTACAACAATCTATTTTGGATAAGCAGCTAATGGCAGAGACGCTTTACGCCTTGAAGCCTATCTTACACTTAGGATCAGTCGCCTACTTCGGCAATAACACTTGGAAACCGTGGATTATCTCTCTTGCTTTAGACTTATATAGGTAGGAAGTATAACCAAGGAAAAGGCCAGCTTTAAATTTAATTTTAGTTTACGACTTTATCGGAACTGCTCCAAAATTGACAAGATGGCGTTAAGTAAGAAGCAGAAACAGCAAATTTCACGAAGGACTGTAGTTCTACTTTTGTACCTGCTACGATCGCCGTTCTATGATAGACATAGTAAAGAAAGAATTAGCGCTTCGCTTAAGTGTATGGCGGCTAAAGTACCACTTGCCAATATGATTTGCAACCCCGTCTTACAGTACCTACCCTTCTGGCAAAAAACATACTTTTATATGTGGTCGACATAAGTAAATTTGCCGTCTAACTAAAGTTAACATAAAATGACGTAGAATTGGAATTTAATTTGTAGCTAATCGTAATTGTCCATTTGTTGGTATTACGTTCTATTTATATATATTGCACTAAATTTTGAATGTAAATATTTATCGATTTTTATACTGTATAACTTGTAATTAAAGGATGCTCATAAAGATTACAATATATATGTATATATGTGCACGAGTTTGATTTCGATTAATGAAAATAGCACTTTCTTTTTTAATGAGTGCTCAAAAAAAAGCTTAAAGGCAATTCACTGTTCTATGAAATGGTTGCAGGGTTCCTCTGGAGTTGAAATAACACCAGTATTTTAGTCTGGGACCTTATTATTAGGTTCAAAAGTTCGTGCTTTTGAGTAAAACTATGAAAATAGGGACATACGCTCTTTGATATTGCCCCTAACGCCGTTGGTATCACTGTTGGGGGAGGGGGTTGCCCAAAATGTTTATTGCTAAGGATTGGAGTATTTTTTTACTCTGCTAAGCTCCATGTTGAAAGTGAATTTCCCTCATACCGTCAATACCTCAAGGCACATCTTGACGTACTAGACTACCCAGTCAGCCAAAGCGTTTCTTCTGGTGCTTGAAACAAATCTTTGGGTTCCTCACGGACAACACCCAAAGCGCGCTCTTGGCGAGTTCCAAAGTAATGTGCCACTGATTTGTTCTGTCCTGCGTTTGGAGCCAACTAATTTATATGCACTACCACTGCTTTTTCCATGGTAGTTTCCGTACCCGTACCCAATATACAATAACATTTATTAAGAAGTAGACATAGGGATTTGCGTGTATTGTTTTTCCCTCTGTGTACTTTTAAATGACAAAATCCTTCTGAAAGTCGCCTAATTTTATGCAACCAAAAATACACAAATAAAGATACAAGAATATTGTTGCTTTGACTACAGAAAATAAATCTCTTACGCTCCGGTCACCCGGATGAAAATAAAAATTCGGAAGCCGAAGTAACAATAGGAAAATAATTATTATGACAGCCAGATGTTTGTTTTAAGAAGTTATTTTGGTTGCATAAAATTAGGCGCCCTTCAGATGGATTTAGCCATTTAAAAGTAGACATAGGGAAAAAGAATAAATACACGTAAATCCCATACTTATTAATAAATATCACTGTATAGGTATTAAGTCGTTTAGGTATTCTTTTAACGACCAGGTACTCGTTGGTGATTGGATCCAACTTTTGATAGGTGTAGATATTTCCCCATTTCGGCCCTGGTGCAGTTGTTATCAACTGGTATAGTGGGCACATGCAAGATCAATTTCGAAAATTGGGAATCGAAGGTGTTACGAAAATCACAGGCGACTCCTTTGGAAATGCTTACTTCAACCGGAAAAACAAGATGCGCGAAACTTACCCACTAAAAAGTTTGCTGCGTGTGCTACCCAATTCCAGTTGAGGGTTAAACGGATGCTTCATGGAGTAGAGTTCTCGAAGATCACTCGTGAAAAGTATAGTATAGGACACTATATATTGGCATCAGTAGCACATTTTCACGTACCTACGTTCACTCCTGAGGCGTGCGATAGACGACATTTGAACAACTTCTAATTCCAGGCTTTTCTGGTAAAAAAGGTCGTTGCCATTTGCCGGTACAGGCGTAGAGTTTCGAGAAATCGGACTCGACCATGTGATAAAGGAAACCTTATCGACACGAGTACTCATCAGGGTAGTGAGAATCCCAGAGCCCAGGACTAGGAGGAATTGTGAAATTAGCTTAAAAGCGGAGCAATTGGCCTTTTAATCCATTGGATAATCACGATCTCTTGTTTGGATTAGCGATTCATACTAACTTTTCTTCCCGCAAACTATGCATTCGTCACAAAGATAATGTAACCAGGGTGATGCAAAAGTCAACTGTATACCTGTAAAACGTTACCAGAGTCCATAGGAATAGAATTAGTGCGAAAGAATGGGGGCGGAGTTCTCTCGTTAAACAAAATAACCGAGAAAACTCCGCCCTCTTTCTCTCGCCAATTCTATTCCTATGACTCCAGAATATAAGAGCCCAGGAAGAGAATATCACCCACGCCAATAACTCTAAGTTAAATTAATTTTTTCGATTTGTAAAATGTAGCGGTCGGTTATTATGTTTATGAATTTTGTTCGATATAATTTGAATATTCCTAAAGGGATCGACCTATGAGTACCATTTGCATAAACAGATTTGTATCACGAATAAGAATAGAATCCAGACAAAAGGTTATGGTTATTTTGTTTCACTGATTGGAAAATTGATTCAGTGATAGTACCATTCCTTTGGTGGACAAAAACATGCAATTTGATCGCCTTTGTTTTACTTAATTCAACGAACTAAGTTCACATGCGTATTTATTAGAGTTCAATCAAACCAGAGCATTAGACTTTCATACTACGTGATCATTCGCCCCACGGCATACCTTCACCTTACGATTTCAAGATACGAGAGAGGGGATCCAAGAGTTTAGGGAAGTTGATAAACAAAATTTCCATACTGTTGGACTCATCGCCTCTCTTGTCCATTGATTGTCTTCGGATCTTCAACATTGGAGTGGGCTAATGCTATCCCCTTTAAGCCTCCCTTTACTACGTTTATCCCCCCACCAGTACAATATAAACAATTTATAACATTTTTATTTAATATGACTATACTTAAGTACACTGAAATGTGTGCTCCGTCCGCCAGCCCAATCCGAAACAGAAAGCAATCACCACAGTGTGGCCATAATGCACTTTGTCCGCCATATGTGGTTTAACCCAAGGTTAATAGAGAGAATAGGTTGCCTCATAACTTTAAGGAAACGCGTCATCGAGAATCCGGAAGTCCCATTTGATTGGAGTTTTCGTTCACTTTGACAGTTATTTGAAATGTGTAAGTAATTGTCAGATGGTGCTGAATTATACGTATAATGCGTATTATAATTCGATTGAATTACTGTTAGATACTTCAGTATTGATTAAAGTTATTTGATGCTGGGTGGAAATATTTGCTATATGCAACAGCAGCTCTAACAAATCAAAAGCAAATGGCTCAAAAATGCAGTTTTTCAAATTTGCAAAAGACTGCATTGCAAAAAGAATGGACTATATAAAGTGCAATCGAAAGGGGAAACTGAATCCCTTATGCAATAGGGTATGCAGTCTGCATTTCCGGGCCGAAGATTATGCAGATGAAATGCAAGCTAGGCTAATGGGAATTGTCGCAAAAAAAAAAAATGGTTCGTATAGAATAATACCTACGTAGGTGTTTTTAAGATGGATAATGCTTATATTGTTTTCGTTATTAACAGCTATTCCATCTTTGTATATAAAATCTTTACACAACGCTGAAGCTGAAGAAATAGAGTCCCAGAGAACAGCTATAGAGAGAAAAATGTTAGTAGAAGAACTGGTGCGCATTTCAAATAAGTCAGAATGTGTAATTGCGTTGTCTGCATCAGAAACAGAGGAAATTGAAGCTTCTTGCGTCAATATATCTGATACATCTTCGCCAAGCAAGGAAAACGATTATAATGTGTTAAAAATACAGTTCGACAATTAGCAAAAAGAAAATCAAGCATTGAAAAGTGAAATTAAAATACTCCAAACCGATAACGAATCATTACAGAAAACCGTCCGTCATCTTAAAAGCAGTTAAAAGACGAATCTACTGACTTCGAAGTACAAGCCAAGTTTGCTTTCAAAAATTGTTTAACATCAAATCAAGTAGATATTATTTTAAAGAAAAAGAAGAAAGCAAGTTAAATAAATAAATAAATACCGGAGTAGTATACATGAACCTTCTGCAGGGACACATCCTAAATAGCTTTATGCGGATTACTCTGTAATTGGCCGAAAGCCTGTTGAGGGCCCATAATAAGAGAGGGACAATAAATAAATAAATAAACTATTCATATATTTTAATAAAGTGTTTATAATATTTCGCTAGCATGTTTCTCACAATGCAATGCAAGGACTTTTCAGAACATCCGTGTAAAGTACCATTTCGATCTATTTTGCATTTTTTGAACTTGTTCTGTTGTTGTTGCGTTAATAATTAATTTTTATGATGTGGACAAGGTGGGATTCCGGGTGACGTCATTCGCGTATTTTAATAGTGAACGTTTATTGGCTGAAAGTTACGAGGCAACCTACTTTCTCTATTAACCTTGGGTTTAACCGAATTAGGCCCGGTTGTACAATGTCAGGTTAAACTTCAGGTTGGTTTAACTGAGAGATTTCAGAAATACGATTGGTCAACTTGTGAAATATTAGCCAATCAAATCCTTTAACCCACAATTCAAGTATAAACTGAAGTTTAAACTGACATTATACAACCGAGCCTTAGTAGATTTTGTTAAATTCATTACCTTCGTTTCCAGGGTTAATTTCTACCAATCGGATGTATTTGGCCAAAACATGGCGGATCTCTCAACTACCAATAGAAAACAACCCCACCATATGACCACACTGTCACTGTACAAGGGACATCTGTCCTTACTTTCGTGGGCACGCGCATGCGTAGAACGGCCGTTTCTATGGCAGGCAGACATGGACTGCGCATGCCAAGCCAAAGCACAGATATTGCAGGTGAACAAGAGGGAAAACTAAGGGACCAGCGCCTCTCTCTATCGTACTTCTGTTGAGCGCATACAATCGACTTTGCGACCAACACAAGCGCGATAGAGAGCGCTGGCCTCTTAGTTTTCCCTTCTCTCTCACCTGCAGTATCCCCGCTTAGCACTGGCACGCGCAGGAAAGAGTGAGTGCGCGTTCCAGTATAAGTATAGTCCAGTGTCTGTAACACATTCACAAATATGAAAGTTTTTATTAAATGTATTGTCATAAACATACAAAATTAACATTATAATACTAAATTAACCGAGCAATAACATGTAAATGGTATAAAAATAGAATTTATAATAAATATCACAAAATATACGAACTCGTATTAATAAATATAATAAACTATCGCACCATAATTGTGCATTTTTGGAAATTCACTAACAGCCTTTCATTTTAAATTTAGCATGATTTGTACAATTTATCTAAAGAACACGCTTCTCACTTACACTTCGAGGACTAACCCTTTTCTGTGCACTTCATCACAGTAAACATCAAGTTGATCCGATTCGGGCCTAGCATCTGTCGGATATTGTAACAAGTCATCGTCTTGTTCTTCCAGTTTGAATGCGCCTGTCCATTCACTTTCTGGATCAGAAAAAATGGCAGAGTTATCATCGACTGAATATTCGGACATTTCATCGGGATGCAACTGGTCTAAAAAAAGGTGTAAGTAATAATAGTGAAAGGAATTAGGCATTATAGAGAGCTTACGTGGTCGAAACACATTTGTGGCTGACCAAGCGGAATCATTCCACTCATCATCCAATTCTAGCTTTTTGTTGACTTTGATTTCTTGCGGAGTAAGCACAGCAACGGTATCACTGTCTGTTACATCAAATATTTCCGTCACTTTTACTTTGTTATTTTCGTCCATGTAATAAAACGCCATTATGGCTTCGTGATGAGATGTAATTTCAAGGATTTGCTCAAAAGTGTCGTCTCCTATGTCCGAACTGTTGACCGTTAAATTCGACTGCATCGGAATGGCAGTAATTGTTTTATACTTCCTGTTATGAGTGTGCTCCGTTTCATTCAAATTAACTGTAAAATTCATGTTCATTCTATTTTTAATTTCATGGTCCACAGATTCCATATTATAAGCATCTGCAAATTAACATTTTGTAGATAAGATTATGCTACTAAGTAAAATGCTTACTGCCTCCATATTCAGATATCGCCAACTGGCAACTAATTTTAGCATTTAACTGTTGACGTACATTTACTTTATGAAGCAGCAGAGATAATTGATCCATGAAGAACTTGCTGAGTTCCCACAATGTATTGCCCATACGTGGAGTCGAAGACATTAATCTACAAAAAAGGTTTACAAAATCCGAGTACTAAATTGAGAACTTACTTTGTAAATGTCGCATACATTATATCCGCAGGCAATACGTAAGGAAGACTGAGAATTGATAAAAGTTTCATTCCTCTATGTTTGAATAGCCAATTAATGAGACCCTTGTTCGCAGAATCAATAGCTTCTTGAAATACGGTCATGACTGTATCTGGCATATTTGAAACTAAAGCTTCCTGTAAGAGGAGTAATAAATTAAACAAATATAGCAAACGAGCTCCTGGGTATGGCTACAGCATGTGCAAAACCAAATTTTAAACTTGATGTTAGTTTTGCTTTTATTTAAAGTGTATATGTATGAAATTTCATTTGAATGCCTCTGCGCATGCGCAAAACCAAATTTTGAAACTGGCGTAAAATTTGGTTTTATTCCAAGTGCCTATGTATCAAATTTTATTTAATTGCCTCCATAAATAAGGAAGTTGGCACTGCGCATGCGCAAAACTAAATTTTGAAACTGGTGTTAAATTTGCTTTTATTCCAAGTGGCTATGTATCATCAAATTTCATTTAAATACCTTCAAAAATAAGAAAGTTTGCAATTCGGTCTGTAAATGGTCGAGATGCGCAAAGGGCACTGTGAATGCTGATCGATTAGGTTCAACTTTTGGAATTGTATTTTATATGGCTAAAGCTATGCGCATATTGAATTTCATGCAATTCGGTTCATAACTAACGGATATGTCAAAAGGGCCTACTTTATTTTTTGGGCTACATTGCCAATTCACGAACTCCGATCTACAAATTTGATAAAGAATCCACCTGCAAAATTTCATCGGAATCGGTCCATTCGTTTATGAGTTATCGTGCTAACGGACGGACAGATACAACAAAATTATAAACTCGCTAGGAGCTCGTTTATAATTTGGGACGGGACGGTGAGACTTACCTCCTGATGAAGTTTACATTCACTGCATTCCGGATCATATTCTAAACATTCCTCGATTGTTTCGGAGACAATAAACGTCGACTGCACGGCCAAACAGCGAGTACAACCAATCAGGTTGTTTCTGTGCAAAAAACGAAGAGCGTCATCGAAACCTTGCTTGCACATATTCGACAAAACCTCCGGTTTCGGAGGAAACAAAATTCTAGTCATTCGATAAATGTTATGTCGTGATAGCTCTATACTCGTATTTGCCACGTTAATCTGCAACCCAAACTTCAACACACAAAAAAACACTCGAGCGAACATTACGTGAAACAGTTGGGAGCTATCATCTCGAGGGCATATATCGGACTCCCCGCAAAATGGACTAACAGTTATTGTATTCTCATCGATGGCTGGCAAATTATCACTAAATCCCCCGTCCATACATCGCACGCCGCGAAATTTCGGAGGCAGTATTCCCGAAAAAATCGGTACAAAAGCTGAAGCTAAAAGAGCCTGAAGTAGATCTTCTTTACTTTCGAATTGGGAAACGATTACGTTCTTGCCATCGTACACTCTTGTAAGGGAGATGTGTAGCTTGCCACTTACTCTCACATGTGCGTCTTCCGGTAGATACTACAAACACACAAATTGAGGATACATATTAGATAATAAATTGTTCGTCTAGTATAAAAACAGTCACGTCAATCATCGCAGGTGGCCGCCCACCACAAATTATGCTATTACATTTTCATCCGGTTTAGCACATGAGAAGAAAAAGACATAAGTTTTGGAGTGGGCGCCTACCTGCGACTGTTTTTATACTAAACGAAGAATAGTTGTTTTTAAAACTTTGATAAAGAAATAAATTGACATTTTTCTTCTGATTACATCTCGTGTTTTATTAACACATCTCGAGTTTCCATCATTGCATCAGGTTATTGACCCAGAAAATGTGTTATATTGAGGGTAAAAGAAATTGCCAGGATCCCTGTTGTTTGGCGGCGATGAGTCAACCGCGAAAGTGATTTTTGACACGCGTCGCGATGGTAAAAGACAAGAGTTTCGATAAATTGAACCCTTAGTATTAGATAATAAATACTAATCAGTTGTTTTTAAAAACTTTCAATAAAAATAAATTGACATTTGCTTTCTATGTTTTTTCTCCGTGTTTCCATCGCCTATCGGCTATCGCATCAAATAATATTCTTTAATTTATTGATTACTTACTTTCTCCAATCCCTCTAACAGAAGTGTCTGAATTTTGAATGATGGACTGAAAGGTCCTAAGGATCTGCTTCGGGCATCTAAAGCGACTCTTAATACGTCACTTGTTATGTCACCTAAAAACAAACATTTACTTAAATATGTTTAACCTTTTCTCGTTCTCTTATACTAGGGCATCCAAGGTTCTTAAAATGACGACTTTGCAAGTATAATTCTGCAAAAATGTCCGGGGAGGACCCTCTTTCACCGGGGGTATTCAATACACCCCCCCCCAAACATCATTGTTAAAAAAAGGCCCTGCAAAAATGTTTCGCTCCAGGCCTCGTATTAGCTATGGACGGCTCTGATTCATTATTTAAGTTTGCGCCATCTCAACCCAGCGTGAGGCGTTGACAATAATTTTGAAAAAGATCTAAAAAAGATCACCTATCAGGGATAGTTTCACAAGTATGGAGGAAGGTGTAGCAATTTATATCACAATGATTCGTCTGATTTATTGACAAGGGGTATATTGAGGATGTATGAGGGTAAATGTCGTATATATACGTTATTTAAGAGTTAATCTGTGTACTTAGATTTAATATCAATCGCATATTTTGTGAGATATTGCTAACTTCAGATAGGTTGCCTTGACGCCTCTCTGGGAGCGCCCATGGTTGCACTCGTCCATCTGTTAATGTAGTTTCCCAGAAGATAAACACTAAATACAGAAGAAACTTTTGGGGGCATTGTTTCTAAAGCAAACATTTTGGAAGTTTCTTTAAAAAAATGTTTCATTTAGTCCCCTTTTCCACCAAATATTGCTTACTATTATGATGGTGCCTTCATTTCGATTTTTTACTATTTATTTAAGGTTAAAGTTGTTTAAATTGAACCATTGAACCAATATAGACAACGGGCGACAAGGCCACTTCCGGTTCACGATTATTAAACAAAATTTAATCAGCTAGTCCCTTGAACATTATCTACCTATTACTGAAAGAACTGGAAAATTCGAAACCGTTCGCGAGTTGCCATGTATACAGGCGGACGGACAGAAAGTCCAAAATCGCTTTCTGTCGCTCGTATGCCATATTTTTTCAATCTGGAAGTAGGGATGGGAGAGAAATTTGGCAAGATGCAGCTCTGAACTAAACCGACCACCGACCTTTTGAATAGAATTATTATTTAACAAAGATAACCCCCCCCCCCCTGCGTTGATAAAAAAAATGGTTAATAGGTATTGGCATTGTAAATAACCCAAAATCCTCATTTCTGATTTGTGGTAAATAAACAACGCATTAACAAAGCAAATAAATGCAAGTGATCATGTCCACGTGGAGATATTTTAAATAAATATTTCGTACCAAACACAAAGTGCCTCACAAAAGGTTTGTTATCGTTAATAAGTCCTTGAGAGGATTACATTGATTTGATAAGTTATAATATTGCTTTGTTTCAAATGCGTCTTTTTATACCTACTTAGCCAAACACGTCATACACCTTGCACAATCAGTCATTAGCCATTCTAAGTACTAGTAGAATAAAAAATAAAACAATAAATATAGCCTACTATAATAATATAAATAAAGGTACCTAGGTAAATAAAAAAAAAACATACGATAGTATTGTATCAAAGTACACGACTCATAATTAAGTATTTGCTGCAAAAAAAAAGATAAATGAAAAAAACACTTACCTAAAGGTAAATCGCATAACAAGCAACAAGCAGCAATCGCTCCCGCTGAGGCACCAGAAATTTTATTTAGCAATAAATGCGGAGCGTATTTTCGAAAACAAACGGCAACTCCTACATGATAAATGCCCAAAAATCCGCAACCCGCAAACGATAAATTCATTATCAATTATCACCGCCCAAGGTATTTTTCTTAAAACACCTGAGATCGCAGTTTCGAAAATGTATAAAAGAAAGCTTCGGTTTGCGCGAAAATAAACTACACTACACAAGCGCGACTGTACAGATTATGAAAGCATTTCTTCTAATTTCTATTAGCAAATAAAAATTACAAATAAGAGGGGGGGGGGGGATTAAAAAACGTCATAGGAAAACCTTGCTGCTCATTGGTGCAAAGTAGATGGTGTGTCGCTCTCGAGATGTAAATCGTCAATACTCGAGCGCGGATGCGAACGTAGCCGATGTTTAAGGGGGGAAATTTAAATCGACGACATACAGTATGGTTACATAGTCATTATCCACGAGATGAGAGATGTGATAAGCAAATTTAGTAACTGGGAATTTATTTATTACGTTTTCTCAAATCTCCTTTTGCGTTTATCTAATTTTTAATTCATAAGAAAATTCCCATTTGGAATTGTAAAATATTAAAGAGCGTTTGCTTTTGCAATAAATGATGCAGTAAGGCGTAATATACCTGAAATTTAAATATTAATAGGAGCTCTTGCAGTTTCGTATAAATGCCGGATACCAATAAAGGGCATTGTGCCACGAAATTTAAAACAACTTTTATCAGTTATCATTAAGAGGGGGTCAAAAAAGAACTCCTGCACAGATATGATGATTTTGAAACGTACGCAATCATTTCCTTTCTTGACCGTGAATTTGCAGTGACCCAAGATAGCTTCAATGACGTTGACGCGTATACAATATATGTGGCAAGATGGTGTACTACTCCTTATCTAAATGTTTATAAATATATAGTAAGGAGCTCAGTTAGTGAATTTTTTTTTGAGACACACATTTGGAACACTTTGGTACCGTATTAAACGAGTCGATAGATTGTTAACTTATGAAACACAATTATTAACCACAGATCTCTACTATTTGCATAGGTAAACTCAACAAAGAAATTCAAATTATATTGTGTTTTGTACGCCATTCAAAATGAGGTCGTTTCATTGACAAATCGATCATTTCAATAAACTGTTGTAGTTGCGTGATTTACCGACGTCAAACTTAATTTTGTTAATAATACGTACAGACGTAGAGAATTGATTGTCAACTGATACCTTCTTCGAGTTCTTATCCAATTCCAATAACTGTGTTACAGATGAAAACACGAGTAAATGATTATCTTTAGTGTTGATCGCAGCGATGACGTCTTTTAATTTGTTTACAGTATTGAAATTATTTCTTAATTCGTATTTATGATGACCTATATAAATAAGAGATCGCATTCCCACCCGATGATGACTTATCTACTTATTCACTTTTTTTTAAACAATTTAAAATCAACAGGAACTAATGAAATATATTCTGACTAGCCATGTTCGATTAAATTATTTAAAAATTCTAGTCTCTCCGCTCCATACAGTAAAGAATTCCACTTTTTTATGTTTACACTAGCCACACGATATCCGAGAATTTCCAAATGCCGCTTTTTGAGTTGCTGATATCCTTTCAGTTGCACCATCAAATTTGTGTATGCGTTTTCTTTCATTAACAACAATGCGATTCTATAAAGGTTGAATAAACAATTTTGCAATTAACAAATACCTCACCTTGTCCCTTTTTCGGTACCAGGTTTAATGAAGTTTCCTTTGGGATCCTGGTGAAGCAAAAAATCGATATGGTACCCGTACGCAGTATGATGACCTTGGACAAGCATTTCTGGGTCACGAATAATGTGTAACAAATATTGTCTAATATCGGGAAAGCTTTGTGCAAGAGGCGGAGCTGCAAAAGTATACATGTATGCGAAGTTAAAAAGAATACAAAAACCTTTCTGCAACTGTTCCATATATTTCTTATGGAACCATGGTACATTCGCTTCAGGATAGTCTAAACAAACGGCTCGATTTAAATGCATCATGTTGTTCCTTACTCTAATGGGGTATTTATCCTAGAACTGATTGTTACAAAGTGTCAGACTAACCACATTTTGACTACCTTAAAATAGCACATGGACAATTCGAAATCGAGCTTTTCCAGAAAATTCACATTGAATATCTGCTTGATCCAAGAAGTGGGCAATTTATGAAAAAAACATAGGGCCATTGCAGCGTGTATATAGGACAGTCCACTCAACCTTTCTTGATCGCTACAAGTACGAATATAATTATCTCAAACGCCCCCTATGCCCATTATAATGTAATTACAATAACACATTAGGCTCTAATATGGTCATTTATAGAACCACTTTAACAGTGACAGGTTTTTTTAAAAATTGAGGAACCAATAACGCCTAGTTTAGACCATTGCAACAAATTATGGGTACAATGCAATGTCTTTCATGGGAAAATGTTTCATTTTTTAAATGGGTAGGGTTGCAGTCTACACCAACATCAATTATTGTTTATTTATAAAGACCATAGTGTAAAGAATAGAGAAGTGAGACAACCTTACAAAGAAAAAGGCAAACTGATTTGGAGAGCGAGATTTCATAGTTCGCGACGCGACTACCTGAAAGGGGGCGCAGCAGTCGTGAATTTTAAACCTTGCAGTTTTGCGCTAAAACTGAACAGATGACCCGTTTTGCAAGGTAGATTTCCACAAGGAATATTATAGTATTTTTCGCTGTAGCTTTGCCGTTATGACGTTAGTGCTTCATTTTTGAAGACATATCTTTCTTATCCTTATTTTCTAACTTATAACTCTCACCTTAAATGGCGGGCATTTCTGAAAGCCTAAAGCAATTCTCAGGTCAATATATTAACCATTGAGATATAATGAGATTGAACTTAAAAAAGTTTATGGGGAATTCCTAACTACAAACCCGCAAAGCTACAGCGAAAATACTACATAATTTTTTATCTCACTCTTTTATTACATAAGAAAGACCGTGACGTGATTAATTTCCCCTAATATCCTTACAATAACATTACAAATGTTAGGTACATACTAAACATTAAACTGTGCTAAAAATTACTACGCATACGTTTTATGCACTGTATTTCGGAAACCATAGATGTGATGGTTATATTAGGAAATAGTTGCGCAACTAAACAGTTATTAATATTATCATGCTTTAAAGAAAACCAGAAAATTGCAATTACTGTCAAAGATTTGTCCATTTTGTTTTTATTTTTTCTTTTATTTTGAGCAAATACAGAAAAATAAAAAAAACTCTTCTAGTTGCCACTTTTTGAGCTCTACAAAACGGCCTTGAGATTTTCAATACAACGTTTCGTTTTAGAAAAATTAACATTAATCTTATTTTTTATATGATCCATAAAAGAGTACATACTGTATTGAGTACCATTTTTTATTACGAATACGGCCCACACAAAAAAAAACAAAAGTTAAAAACTGTTGGTTTCAACAGGATGGTGCACCCGCGCACAACGTTATAAATACCTATCCGACAAATTTTCCATTTTCCAAGGAATTTGTCCGCTAGGTATTGTCGCACAGTTACGGCATTGTGATCCCTATGATAGACATTCTTATCTTGGACACAGTGTATATTCAAATTACATACCTATCAAAGTGCATTGGGTACAACTTTGTATTTTTGCGTGCGTGTATTTTTTCTCACGAATATGTTTTTTCAAAATACCCCTCCATGTGAAACAAAAAATCCATACAAGACAGCGCCAAAAATGAAACAATAATTTCTAGTTTTTAGATGAATTTTTACGTAATTTGCGTAGGGCGATCTTGCACTCTATCCAGAACTCAAAAACTGCCCCCAAAAAATGTTTCTTAACGAAAACGAATTGAATATCATAACCATTTTCCTATTTTAAGGATAAGTGAAAACCTGGATTACAAAAAGCATGAGTGCTATTGAGGGCACATGCTTCACTCTATGCAGAGCTTAAATTCTACCCCTCTAGGATAGCACCTACTACTACCAGGAAATTTATTTATATTTCTTTGTTTTAAAAGCAAAAATCTTTCAACCAAAACGTGATGAGAGAAATCTTCAAAACTTTAGAGGAGCTATCCCAAACTCAAGATTTTTGTCACAAAATGGTCAAGAATGTGTCCTTTGGCACTTGAAATACTTGTTAAGTTTTTATTACAAAGTTTACCACAACCCTTCATAAAAAAACCGGTTTTATTTCTCAGCGCCAGAAGTATAGAAAACCTCCGTTTGCGTACTGATTTGAAAAAAAGTTGACGGATTTGCCGGAACTTCAGTAACAGTAATGCTACACCAAAATCGTTTCTTTATTATTCATAACCAAAGATCGCAAAAATTCAAAAAATTTCATTTTACTTAGCTACTGCTCTAGTATAAAGGGGTAATTCCGCGTAATGTTAATAATAATATAATAAAAAGATATCAATGAAAAGATTAAAAATTCTCAAACGTTTTAGAGAACTGGATCTCGGACATATACCTACATACATCAGAAGCAGACAAACAGAGTTATGTGGTTTCTTACCTAAAATAATAGGTAATGAATTCTATTTATAAATGACTCCTGTCACGGATTAAGTTCAAATCGTTTTATTATTCTTTTCCTGTCAAAATCACAAAATTTCTAATCTGACGTTATACAAAAACAAAACTCATCACACTTCAATAATAAAATCAATTCATCCTTTAAACATACATAAACACATTTTCCAACACAGAGCGATCGCTTCACTTCATTCATCTAATAAAGTGCTTTTTTTTATTACTGCAGATGACCGTATCGTATTTCATATTTAGGAAAAAAAGTTAGTTTGTTTCATTTGAATTTCAGTGTTTGTTTTTCCTTTTAGAATTATTTGTAAATGCGTAAGTCTTGTTTAATAATTATCGCTTTTGTAAAGAAACTGGAAGAAAGGGCAGTGTGGACTCTAATTTACCTAGTAAGATATTGATATTGGAGTCTATTTTGTTATAAACATTCTGTAGATGTTACTGATAAGTATACAGTGATATTTATGTAGAAGTAGACATAGGGATTTCCTATGTCTACTTTTACATGATAAAAAGTCTTCTAAAGAACGGCTAACTTTATGCAACCAAAGTAACTACCTACAACAAATGAGGATCTGCCTGCCCTATTAATTAATTTGAATATTATCGCTTTGACTTCCATATTCTAACTTCGGTTCGTGTGCGATGCATTCAACTAAAGAAAGAGTTGATATTTCCCATTGGTATAGTGCCGATAACAATTAAAGGAGCTTAAAAGAGTTATTTTCTGTGAAGCTAAAGCAACAATATTCAAATTAATAATTAATATGACAGCTAGATCTTTATTTGTTTTATGAAGATATTTTGGTTGCATAAAATTAGGCGTCTTTCAGAAGACTTTTTATCATTTGAAAGTCGCTATGCCTACTCATGAATATCACTGTATATTAAATATGAGATCTTTAAAAAACATCTGAACATAAAACGTATGAAAAGATTCAAAAGCGATACATTGAACAAGTTATTGTAGGTTTTTTCTGCGTGATATGTCACACGGCGTGCTAGATTTCATAAATTATCTAAATATTGAATAACGAATTCCTCCTGTATATCAATATCAACATTTTGTGTTGTTGTACAGCAAATTGATACCCTTTTCAAATATCGTAAAAAACATAGGCATGGTATTGTAAAACAAAAGTTGCATCGGTTTCCGGTTAAACCGGAAGGGATACCGAAAGTTTGGATATGCGATCAGCTGGATTGTTAATAAAATTACTTATATTTAAAAAATCTCATCAAATAAAGACCCTCTTATCTGAAACGCACTATAAGCCTGAAATCAAAGAATATTAAATATGAATATTAAAGATATAACGTGATTACTCTACGCAGATGACCTAGCTATAATTATTAAAGGCAAAAAGCGTCTTGTATTCTTCCTCAGGAGAAAAAATACAAGACGCCACCAACACCTTTGTAGAGGAGGCAGAATCAAAAACAAACACATGGTAGGTATATACACTTTTGCAGACTGCCGATACTTCATATGAAAAATGGCACTGTAATATACAAGAAGGAATTAAAGTTCCGGCAAACTGACATGGAGACCTCACATACAGACCATTAAAACAAAACAGGTTATAAATCGATTACAGATCAAATGCCAGTTCAGGTGGGGAGTGGACGCAACAACCCTACGAAAGATTGCTGAATCGCTAGTCATATCGCGTGCAAACTACGGCGCTACCATTTATCACTCTGCCGCAAAATCCAACCTCAAACAGTTTGACTCGACCATGTTATCCGTACTACGAATGGTATCTGGATGTTCTAGAACATCTCCAAGGACCAGCGTCTATTGTGAATCAGGGTTCCTACCATCCACTTACTGTTCTGAGAAAATAAGCTTAAAATGTGCGTGTGGGGCTTTCAATTGTTTTTGCTGTTAACCGTTTGACCGATTTTAACAAATTTGGTATGGTTCAAAAGAGCATTCCTTAGGCAATGAGAATCAACCAAAATATAGTTAATTTAGTTGAATCCTTCTCCGCCAGGGGGCTAGTTTTGACACTATGACCCAATCATAAAAAAATCAAATGGAATGATATGACTTTTTCATTATGAAAGTAGCCAAATAACATCCAAAGAGGCCAGTGAAAACCGTTTTTCAAAATCTCGTTCCTAACCTCAAATATTGGGAAAATGAATTAATTAATTAATAAAAATGCTTAAAATTACTTTTGACGTATTTCCGATATTTTACGATGGCGCGAAAATTTGTTTGGAGAAGCACCCTACACTTTTAGGTAGGCCATGGAAAATTAATAAACAAATGAAACAGGATGCATTATAAAATAATAACATCCGTAATTTGTAAATTATTCTGCTGCGTTTACGCGTTCAGAAAGTGCAGTTTTTTGAATTTGTAATATTTTTTCTAAAATGCCGATTTCTAACCAAGAAGTATTTAATATGCTGGCGATATATTTTGAGTATTTTCAAAATGCGACCATCGCTGCCCACATCTTCTATTTGCGTTATCCGAATCGACCACGAACCATCGCCGCCAGCATATTAAGTGCTTCTTGGTTAGAAATCGGCATTTTAGAAAAGATTACAAATTCACTTTCTGAATTCACTTACTTATATTTTTTTGTTTTTTTTACCTGCTGATATTTCGTATTATCCAGCCACGTCACGTGAGCAAATCAGAAGACTTATTAGTTCTGGGTTGAGTGGGAGAGCAGTCAAGTATGCTTCCATTGTTGACTGATCCACCCTTAGGCAGTTACCTTTAACGTACATATGTAGATATTTATTCTAAAGCGAGGAAGAGATCCCAGAGTTTTGGACTGAGCCATGTCATCGAGCAAAAACTGCACAGAGATGGTTCATTGTTAATAGTCAAAAGGCTCGACTGGCCACCGAAAATCTCTTGATCTGCTGCGTTTCTGTGGAAGAATTGAAAAAATTGGTTAATGCCAAAAAGACGTGCTTTAGTGATAAAAATCAAAGGGTGGCCGATGAAATATTGATATGAAGTGAAATTCTTTAATTTAACTTCAAGTTTCTAGGAAAAAACCCATTTTTTAAAGTTTAGTCAATTTAACATAGTGATAAAAGACTTTTTACCACCACTGTAGGTCCCTCTAATAAAAGCAAACAAAATGCATACGCAGATAGGAGTACTGCGGATGCTCAAAACTCAACTTTCTTATTTATGTAAGTAAATGAACAAGAATTGGTGTACAGTTGTATGCCATCTATAGCATGAAACGAAACGAGCTAGCACACAGTCTCCAAAACCGAGTAGGTTTATATTACACTGAAAAAATGAAGACACAAATGTAAAAAATACCTCATTTTCAGTGGAATTTGTGCAAAATAAATTCACGCTAGCGAAGTGTTAAAATGCAAGGCATTTTTACCAACCGATATGATGAGATTGGCTAAAAAAGAGACTATCGATATGTTGGTGTTTTTTGGGCCGAATCAAATTTCTTTTCTCTTTGTTTTCGTATTTTATAAAATTGGTTGGAGTAGTGTGTCAATATCATCACTCCTAAATTTGCCGTTTCCAAAATGAACATGGAAGTTGTCTCACTATTCTATTTTTTACACTACGACGATACTCACCGAATTATAATATCGGCTATTATATCAAACAATAAATCAGAATTACTGGGAGTATATCCCAAGTAATAGCATAAGTATGCCACTTTCTCCGCATTAAATCCCAACATACAGTCCTTATGGGAGACGACATAGTGGGAGAGCGACTCCACCAATTCTGGCACCAAGGTACCGGTGGTTTGCAGCCCGATCACCATATTCCTTACGGCTAAAGACGACAAGGGCTCTTTGATGGTGTAATTAAAAAAAATACGATTGACAAGATCTCGTTTCAAGCATCTTCTGTAAACACAACTTTTAATCAAGAAATTATTCTGCGTTACGTCATTTGTTGCGAAAATATTGTTGCAGACAATGCTATCTAAGACATTACTCAAAGTCTTCAAGTGACTGACTGTTACGCTAGGGTTCTTTGAGGAGTCCAAATTTCTTATACCTTTAGAAAGATATAAAACGTCCAAATGATTAAATTGTTCTCTGACTTGCAATATCTTATTTAAAACTGCATTGCACACATCTCTCTTATGTTCGAAGGCGAATATAAAAGCCGCGGCTAAAGACAATTTTGAGGGTATAACGGATAAAATTCCGCTTTGAAATTCTTCGTGTAACCAATTTAGCACACATTTTTCAAACTTCGTGCATCTATAATGGACGTCATTGTTATAGTTCAAGTACTTCTGGCAAACTTTTAATAAAATGTCCAGGTCCTTGTACGTATTATTCTGTCGGAGTACCTCTAAGGTTTTATGCCAAAACCTTTCGTCAAGGTCTGAATTCGAAGATTTAACAAACGTGACTATACGAAGCAAGTCTAGTATACTCGTGATAGTTAAAGGTAGGTTGAGGAACTCGGCGATTACGTTTTCGTAATCCGATCGATGAATTGTAGAGGAGAATGACGCCATGCACGATAAAAGTTTCAGCTTCATTTCTTTGGGAACAATTGATTCGTCGTCTCCCGACTGTAGAAATACTCTACAACAACGTTGCATTTCAGTTTGCAACTCACCGGGTTCGTGAGTTTTGTATAGAGTCTACAAACATAATAATTACATTCTTTTCGTAGTACTTCATTAATACCTCAAATAAAATGCAAAGGTCGGACACGTTCAGTGTGTGCAAGTTGCCCTTCATATGTAAAGCCAGCTCGGATGATAAAGTGGTGCACCTGTCGCTCCATTTTGGAAAATTCAAAAAGTATATAATCTTCAATAATATCCTGTATGTGGCCGGTACATTGTCACACGTTGAAATCACTCTCTTAACGACTTCCATGTACTTCTGTAAAATTTCCATTGTAACATTCTGGTGAAAATGTTGCAGGCATATTGTAATAAGTTTTAGATCTTCCAGACTTTCACATTTTTCTATCAAAATTAGGTGATCAATTTTAATCATTAATACCAGTATAATACAAACCGAGCTCCTGTAAAACCACCGGCACAGCAGGTTGCACCGCAAAAAGAGAGCCGAAGGTCATTTCTTGGGTTCTGATAACATTAAGAAGTCGTGATATTACAGTCAGCGACGTGCTTGTGCTCAATACGTGCAGTGCCTTCTTAAAAAACTGTGGCACATTAGAATCTAGTTGGTAACCTAATTTATTCGCATACATTAAAAAACAACTGAATGACTCCGGATCAAAGCTATCACATTTTTCCTTAGCCAACTCTATAAGAGAATAAATATGAGGATGATTACTAAAAGCCATTCCGCTCTGCTCTGTCGGAGATAAACCCTGCGCAAAATAACACATTTTCTGAAGATCCCACAATACTAAAATAGCTTGAGTAATGTGAGTATAATCCATCGAGTTATTGACACCATTAATTACGTCCTGTACCGAAACTGAATTTTTTAATTTTACAATTAGAGGATCCGAAGAGTCGGCATACAACAAATTCTTAGCCGGTTGATATTGCTGCACTTCATTGTAAAGCGAAAAGTGTATTAAATCGTCTAAATTGTCTAATTGAGTGTGATCAGTGTCCGAATGCTCAAAACGTTGTAACGACGGGGAAACTTTCTTTAACTTCGACGATATTGTTATATAACATTTTTTCTGGTTGAATTTTGTAAAACGAAAACTTTTTAAAAAGCACTTCATCTCCCTTGGTAATAATAAAATTTGTCTAAAAAAGCAGTTCATGTTTATACATGATTTAAATAGTTAGGTTAGAATGCGTTAAAAACGGCAGTGGCTACGATAGCGCTTCATTCTACCGGGTTGCTCCAACACCATTGTATTTATGTACAGTGCTTGCACTATTCGTAGTCGAATGTTTGTACCCAATATTGGCACTTGATGCATTTATTCCATTTTTGTGTAATTAATATATGCATAATTAATGCACCTAAAAAAAATTGTAATCATTAGTCCAGCATTGTAAATCTTTCGATAGCTTTCCTCGGTAGTACAAGGTAATTTGTTAAAAACACTATTTTTTCTGCACTTGAGACATCTTCCCTTTCAAATATAAAAATATAGGACGTACGGTAGAAAGCAGTTCGTGACTCTCCTTACCATTCGGTCTTTCTCCAAAGCTCTGCGCATTTTTTTCCAAGCTACTTTGAAAAGATTTACAAAATGGGCCTACACAAGTTTTCCTGAAATGTTTGAAACTTTCCAGACAATTCTATACTCCTGTATAGTGTCATAGAAAAAGTTTAAACGCTTCCTAAAAGATCTAGAAGTCTGTGGAAACGGCCTATACAAGTATCTACTCTATTCATTTTAAGTTCCCAATAGAACGCACAGGGAAGAGTCAGTATTGCGCTGAAAAATAAAACTGCCAACTAAACTGTCCTGAGCTGTTAATGTCAACGATTATCAAGATCTACCATAGAAAATTTGAAAGCACTTAAGTCGAGACACAAATATTTTGAGCAGCCACAGATATCTCAATCACCTGTCAAAAGCTAAATGTAGCTCACTAGTTCGTTATAGCTTAGCTTTTGATAGTAAATATTCCAAATTTAATGCACCTATATAACATATTTTTTACAGTTCATACAGTATTTTGATACCTACAAATGATGAATTTACAAAAAATAAGAAAATTATTTTTCAGCAGCATTCTCTGACACTTCCACATCAGCCTTGCTCCCCATATAGCTCATTTTAGGAGGACTAGTAAGAATTTTGTCGATTAATCCGAACTTTTGAGCTTCTGAAGGGTTCATAAATTTGTCCCTTTCGATGTTTTCCTCAATTTTATGTAAATCTAGGCCCGTATGTTTGGCGTACAAATTGTTGATCAGCTTTTTTAATTTAAGAATCTCCTCAGCTTGTATGTGTATGTCTGTGGCTTGACCCTAAAAACTAAATTTTTGTAACGTGAAGTTTCGTATTGCAATTACTTGTGCCCCGCCGGAGGGCTGATGGATCATAACACGAGCATTTGGCAGAGAGTAACGCATTCCTTTAGTACCTGCTGCAAGTAATAACGAAGCCATACTACACGCTTGGCCAACGCACCTGACAAATAATTATGTAAACATCGCAGGAAAAAATGAAATACAAACCAAGTTGAAATTGGTGGTAAGATGTACTGCATCGTATCATAAATACCTAACCCGGCAGTAACACTTCCACCGGGTGAATTTATATACATGTGAATAGGTTTATTTGCAGATTCGGCTTGTAAAAATAGTAATTGTGCTACAATCAAGGAACTCATATCATCATGAATGGGGCCCATTAAGCATATTATACGTTCCTTAAGCAAGCGTGAATATATGTCATAAGCACGCTCTCCTCTGCCGGTTTGCTCGATTACAATCGGAACCAAACCAATATTACGAGTGATGCTTGTTAATGGGGCACCATTTTTAAGTGCAAACTGCAACATAATGATTTAAACATCTACATTTAGGGCATAACTACTTACTGAAGCTAAAGTTCTAATCATAATTTAAAAAATATATCACTAGAAAAATTGAGGTTAGGTTTCACATAAGTTTCACAACAGTGCATACCGGGTGTTTCCGAATAGGAGAATACAACATGATTATTGTAACCAGAATACTGAATTTTGTTAGATGCAATGACTTCTACAATGATTTTAAATTTATATCCCCTATAGATAGAAAGATCGGCTACGTATTTTCACCCTATATTCAAATCATTTAGACACAACACGGTGTTTATTGAGACACAGATTATAAGGTGCATTAATCACGCCAGAAAATGAGGAACGTTGAAATTAAAGCTAAAGTCCGAAATCTACACAATTTGCTTGTTAAAGCAAAATTAATTAGCGAGTCCGAAGGAAAAGTAATCCCCCAAGTTGACCAATTCTACAATTCTATACAGGGAAGATTAAAATTACGAAAATTTGAGGTTAGTACAAAGACGCGCCTCCTACAGATGGCGACACAATCGAGAATTTCAAATTTTAGGATGGAAGTGGCGAATTGATCTACTACGACAGGCCAGACGATGAAGGTCCAAAGGTGTCCTCGTATGAAAAATGCGCGGTCGACGCGAACCTAGCGGAATTGGATAGAGTTTTGCAATGCTCGCTAGGTAGTAAAGGAATTGTAAAAAAAGTTCGGCATTTATTTATGATCGGTCAGACTCGTCTGCATGTAGATATTGTTGAACAATTAGGGAATTTTATGGAGTTAGAAGTTGTTCTTAATCCAGAACAGAGTGTCGAAGAAGGGGTAGCGATTGCTAATGATTTAATGGAAAAATTAGAAATAGGAAAGGAAGATTTGTTAGTAGGAGCGTATCGGGATATGCTTGCATAAGTCAATTTTTTATGTATCAACACACCAATTGTATAATTCCATTAAATGTACCTGTTTTGGCTATATTATTTCTAGCTTTTTTGCCACCAACTGTAAACTGCAAATGCTTCAATGCGGGGCGGAACCCATCGGTGCTATTTGAATACACTTGATATGATTTATGTATTTACTTACTTCCTTCAAGGAATAAGCGGTTTGTCAAAGATACAGGCAACATCACATCGATTACGTGTATACTTTTGCGTGAATACATAAATAAATACTTAAAAAAACAACATAAAGGCAGAATCACCTGTGCAGTATAACAAACAAACATGATTCAGTAACCGTACTCAAAATAAAAGCCATGATGCTTCAATAAGTAACAGCATCGTAAAGTGTGTTAGTACAATCAAAGATCAGTATGATCTTTGGTACAATAAAGAATAAAACGATGTATTGCCTAACCGTACGGGTACGTCACCACAGAATAAACCCAATTATCTCGTATCATCTTTTTAATTTTCTAGTCTCAGTGCTATATCAAATAAAAAACCTTGCCTGACTCTAGAAGAAGGTCTATGTCTATGTAAAATACATATTTAAAATAAATGTCTTCTTCTATTTAAATACGTACGATAGATTAAACGTTTATTAACGATCCTCGAGATCGTTTATAATTTTGTATTGCTGTCTGTCTGTCCGTCTGTCTGTCTGTCCGTGTGCACGATAACTTTGTGTAGAAACGTCCGATCGCTTTGAAAATGTTCTTTGGGATATACCCATCCCATTGTTTTTCGGCTATGTAGAGATAACGGGCCAAAAAGATACAGCCCAAAAACTGCCCGAACCTAAAAAAAAGGGTTTCTTTCTTGTTACAAAGAACATATGAATGTCCGGTTTTCTGTGTGCAGATGAATTAAAAAAAAATTGCGCAATCCCAATTTGTTTACCTGTTAAGATTATGCGACATTTTGTATGTATGCACCTCAAATAAAAGTAAAACTAATGGAGAATTGCGCATGCACAATCTCAAATTTTTTATTCGTGAAGATATTCACATGCCCGCACCTCGAATAAAAGTAAAAGGTCCTAGACTAGCTGAACCGGCAAGCCTGAAGAGTTAGGAACATCCACTGCACTAGAAATGGTCTAGAACGTAATGCAAATATGACGAAACGATAAAAAAAAATACGTTAAATACTTAGAAAGTTCCTAAGACCCTGCGCATTTCTCTCATTCGTGTCCTAAACACGTTCCAGCTTTAGATTTAGCTATTTTCCATAGGTTTTTAACATTTGTTCAGTGCTAGAAAAGTTTTCAAAGATCTTAAGGGAGGATCTATAACGGTTCTGACAATAAAACAAGAACAAGTTCTAGTTCTAATTTCAAAAACGTCCCACAGTCTGCCATCTAGTGCTTTTTAGGTCATTTATTGGACTACGTGCTCTTTGAAAGCTTTACAAAAAGCTTTGGGAAGAACCATACAGTTTTGGAAAAACGATTGAAAGCTTTACAGGAAGCTTATTTCTAAATTATAGGCCTAGTGCCTTTCGTCTCCTTTTTGTTTTTAGCCTTCACCGAGCGAGAGAAAGGTAACACGCTCTGAAAAGCGTTTTCCATTAATGTTCTGGAAAGTGGAACACCTTGAAAAGATATGCTACGCATTTGGAGCGCTTCCAAATACCTTCTAATTTGCAACCTTTTCCAGAGGAAAGGTTTAGAATGCTATTTTTGATATTATGGAAATAAATGGGGAACTGGTTTTGCATAGAAGCATTTCTACTTACTCATTCTTAAGAAGGGATTCCTAATAGTAGATTATATACCAAGGTGCCTGAGCACCAAGATTACACCCGAAGCAATTATTCTAGTATACTGGAATAAATGTTTAACACGAAACGTATTTTAAAAAAAGCATTATGTTGTAATTCCTACCAACGATAATTGATCAAATTCTTCAGTTCGTTTCTTTCTAATGGGGGTTTGTGGGACATAGAATTTTTTGAGAGATGAACATGGAATTGTCGATTTTACTCATAGTGTAGAATAATATAGAAATGCGTAACAATGCAATCCAAAAAATGGGTTATCTCAAAACACTTTCACAGATGCGATTAAATTTGCGATTTGATATCAGACTGCTACTACATACGCGTTCCAGGAAGCGTTTTGCGTATAATTGGTTGAATGCATGATTGTTTATCGTGTAAATCTATTTCAACTGTATCTGTTTCCCAATACTAAGATTAAAATTGCAAAATTGTAGATAAATATAGAATACACGGTTTTGTGGGTGTGTACTTATCGGTTTCGACAGATATCATCGTCAAAACCTATAGAAACAAAACTTTAAAATTGAAATGATACATAATGCGTACTTATATTAAACAATTTTATAGGAAATATGGTCCTAAAGGTCAAAAGTTAACTCAAGTAGTACTCTCCTATCGCTAGAAAGAATCCAGAAGAAAGATCAAATTTTCAATTTTGTTTTGTACCTACATACATTGTAAAAAAATTTATAATAAATCAAATTTTAAATATCCTAATAAGAATAATATTAAATTATTATTAAAGTAAGTCAATATTATCATTTTATCTTTCATTTTAAGCTGATGCAATCACACAAATCATGAGTTTGGTAGAAATGATCTCAAATCCTAATAAATAAACAATTTGCGTACAATATAAGAAAAATGAAGAACACTTGTAAAAAGACATAGTTGAGTGAATTGCACGAGCTAAAATCAAACAAATTAATGAATTTGAAAGTAACTTTTTCTGAAACTCCTTACTATATACCTACTTATTATTATATTTATTTACATTTGGCAAGTTTACTGTTACTGGCGGAGAGTACTTTTTTTCGAATCAAATGCTGAGATCAGTTTTTGGCCAATTTCCAAAATTTAAAGAAATTATCAACATTTACTAGAAAATTCAATGTTGCTGAAGTGGTTTTTGGGGTCTTTTCGTTTCTTGGTCTTCTTTAATAGGGACTATAATTTTTTTATTTCAGCAAAAAGTATAGATAAAAACGAACCACTTAATTTTTATATTGAACAAATTTGTAGTTATTTGAATCATAAAATAGTACCTATATTTCATCAAAGTCTCGTTAAAAGAAACTCATTTTTGCGGAAATGAACAATAAAAAACAAGGTTTTCACGTCAAAGGCAAATAATGAAAAGTTATCGCTGTTTTTTTTAGGTAAGGTAAGGTAAAATGAACTTTTTTTATTTTATCGATTTCTACGGTTTTGAAAAACGGAAAATTATAAGTGATCGTATGAACAGATGCAGTATTTTTTTCTCTAAAAAAACGTATTTAGACCTTTGCTCTAAAATAATTAGGGGAGCTAGTAATTGGCTATAAAGAAATTACCATTGAAATCCCTATGCTGCGTCGCGCTAGGCAGCACCCGGTATAGTCCAGTAAGTGGGGGTTTTTTAATGCAAAAGGTGGGGTAGTAGCGATTTTGTTGTATGTTGTTAAGCTTGGGGCCCTAATGAACAATTTTGGAATAATAGAATGGAAATTTTGTCCTCTGTAACTTTTCTCGTTTTTGAGTTATTATCAAAAAACCAAATTTTTGTACCTAAAATCCAAGATGGCGGTTCGAGCGCATGCGCCTAGAGGTCAAAAACCTGGATTTTTCATTATTAGTGTCCCAAGCCTATCAACATACAAAAAAATCGTTACTTTAACTTTAACTTTATTCTCTCACTCAAACAAAAGATACATTCGAAGTAATTCTTCTTAGCTGCTCTTACACTTAACCTCGTTGGTGGCATACTAAAAATGTACAAATACAGCTTTAAACTTAACTACCCCACCTATTGCATTCAACCACCCCTTTTTGATACCCACGTACTGGACTACTAAATAAATGTGACAGTCCCCACAGGCAAGTCAGCCACCAAACTCGGCAGGTCCTCAACTTGGCAACTTTACTAGCCGAAAGTACTATCCGCCAGTAAACTTGCCAAATGTAAATGATGCTTTAGAAACAACTACTTTCGTAATGAAGTGGATTTCCCAAATTTATTTTTATTCTTGTTGTTGGGTTACATATACTTCGGCCATATAATTTTAATGGCCATTATCAAAGCACTAAAATTAAAGTTTTATAAACTAAGCATGTTACAAGGTAGGATACTTCTTACATAGTTATATGAAAGCGACGTTTATATTTAAATTAATGGATTAAACTAACTAGATTAAATATATGATTGAATGTGGTATTAATGATATAAATTTAACATTTTTGTTAGAAAGTACGGGTATTCGCTTATCATTTCATTGAAAATTTTTGGGTTGTTAATATTTTCTAAAAGTTTATAATTTACTAAATTGTGATAATTATTGTGTTTGTGTAATAACTCTAAATTTTTTTTGTTGAGGTAATTTAAATTCATGACCAGTATTTAATGTGTGTGAAGCAAAATTGGATTTGGTATTATAAATTTGATTATTTTTAATTTCTTTAAAGTGTTCGTTAGCTCTCATATTTATATTTCTGTTGGTCATTCCTATATATAAACCCTTACAAGTATTGCATGTTAATTTGTATACATCGGAATTTTCAAAAGGAGGAATTCTGTCTTTATGGTTGCCGAGAGACATATTTAAATTTTGATAGGGTTTACACGCTAGTTTGAAATTAGATTTTTTGAAAATGTTAATAATTGAATCTGAAATGTTATTTATATAAAGAATTGCACCGATATACCTATTTGTAATTTTGGGTAATAGGAGTTAAAGTTGTTAAATTCATCCACTGTATCTTATTTTTCTTATTGTTGATAATTTTTTGTAAAGTATAGTCAAAGAGAAACCATTAGCAATCGTAATTTGTTTAATTATGTTTAGTTCCTTATTATAATTGTTGTGATGTGTAGGAACGTTTAATAGTCTGTGTACTGGGGAGTTAATTGCAGCTAGTTTATGGTTATATGGACTACTGCTGTATGCAGGGATGATATTATCTGTGTGTGTAGCTTTTCTATAAATTTCAAATTCAAATTTGTTGTTTGTGGTGTGAATTGGGAAAGGTAAAGAACTTTTTGTGGAATTTTCCATAGTGAATTTAATATTAGGATGCCACACAGAAAAGTGTTTTCCCGAGAAATTTTGGTGTAGTAGATTTTTGGTAAAAAAGGAAGGTTTTTTGAGGCCCTAAAAAAATTGTCTCAGATCGACCCGGAAAAAAATTTTTCTTATAGAATGTGGCCTGTAGAATCCATAATTTCAAACAGTTCCAAGATTGGGCTACTAGTTCAAAAGTTACAGCCCTTTGAATTTTCTTTCGAAATTGGTTTCTAGTCTATAACTTTT